TGGAGTCTCCTTCGGTTACAGCGAGAGGGACACTGGCAAAACCTGATGGAACACAATCTCGCACGTGGAAGTTTCGGATGCCTTAAAATGCTCGTGCCCTTAGATTGAGAAGCTCCATTTTTGGACACCTATGGGGGTCAGCGACAGAACCCCAACCTACAACAACAATCTAAGTGTCCAACAGTAGGGGGGATGGTTAAGCAAATGACGGTATGTTTATTTTATGGAATATTATGCAGCTATTAAAATTTTTATCTCTTCATAATAGCCCCAAAGTGGCTATTTCCAGTTTTGGAAACAACGCAAATGTCCATCAATGGATGAGTGGGTAACAAGACGTGACCCACCCACACGTGGGAATATCAGCTACGAACAGGAGTGAGGCGCCCACACGTGCTGCCCTGTGGACAGTTGGACCCTGAGGTCACGACGCTCAGGGAGGGAACCAGACTCAGGAGGCCCCACGGGGTGTTAAGTCCACATGTGTGACATGTCCGGGATGGGCTCGTCCACGAATGGGAACGGGGTTTGTGGGGGCCGGGGCTGGGGGTGACAGATGAGGGGGCTAGGTTTCGTTTTTGGGGTGATGGAATGTTCTGGAATGAGACAGTGGTAAAGGTTGCACACCTCTGGAAAAAAAACAAACCCAAAACCACTGGGTTTTACACTTTGAAATGAAGTGGTTACGTTTTACACTATGTGCTCAATTTAAAAAATTATGTCATGAGGTCTGCAGAAGTATAAGAAAAAGTATCTGAACACATTAAAACACACGAGAAAGCCACGCTGTGACAGCGTCAAGTGAAGAAAAGCAGGAATCATGATGGTATAAAAATCCGCAACCAGGAGAGCATGAGAGACGGGAAAGGAAGGAAACCCGGGTTCGCAGCGGTCCACTGCATTCCGCTCTTCCACTGTTCTGGAACTTTCAAGTTCTTTGTAATGGGAAAGCCCAACGCATTCAAAGTGCATCCTTAGTGTAAAGCAGACGTAAAACTCAACCATCTTCACCATCATAACTGCCTCTAGGCTCACAGCTCAGGGCACGGAGCACACTCACCCTGCCACACACCCACCCTCACCATCTTCTCCAGAACCTTCCATCTCCCCACACGGAGACCCAGTCCCCAGGAAGCACTGCCCCCCTGCCCCCTGCCCCACCCCTGGCTCCCACCACCTCCTCTGTCTCTGTGGATGGGCCTCGACACCTGCCCCCACGTGGATGGACCCCGAGGACGCCAGGCTCAGGGAGGGGACCCAGACCCAGAAGGACACCTCCTGCAGGACCCCACTCCCAGGAGGTCCCCAGAGGAGGCCCGTCCACAGAGACAGGAGGTGGTGGGAGCCAGGGGTGGGGGGGGGGCAAGGGGTCAGTGCTTCCTGGGGCAGGTGTCGGGGCCCCTTCCTCCCAGAGGCTGGGTCGTGTCCCGGGTGTGGACGGGCCGCACTGTGTATTGACCCGTTGATGGGCAAGTGGGTCATGTCCACCCTTTGTCTGCCGTGGACAATGCTGCTGGGAACATGGGGATGCAAATACCTGCTTCCTAATATTTATTTATTTATTTATTTATTTATTTATTTATTTATTTATTCGTTCGTTCATTCATTCATTCATTTATTTTTTTATTTTTTTTTATTTTTTATTTTTATTTATGACAGTCACAGAGAGAGAAGGAGAGAGGGGCAGAGACACAGGCAGAGGGAGAAGCAGGCTCCATGCACCGGGAGCCCGACGTGGGATTCGATCCCGGGTCTCCAGGATCGCGCCCTGGGCCAAAGGCAGGCGCCAAACCGCTGCGCCACCCAGGGATCCCTCATTCATTTATTTTTTTGGCAGAAGCTGGGCAGACATAACCAGGGCACTACTCCCCCAGCCCAGGGCCCGTCCGCACCGAAGGGGCAGCTCGGGCCTCTGGCTCGGCCGCTAGCACAGCCTTCACCTGCTCGCCAGGATCACCTTCCTGCCCACCAGGGCGGCAACTAACAGGCGCCCAGGGAGCCCAGGGAGCCGGCGTTTCCGGTCCAAGCGCCCGCCCGCAGGGCCTCTGGAGATGCCCCCGCTGCCCCTGGGGCGCCACTTATCCCCCGACAAGGGACGCGGCGGGTTTTCACGGTCAGCAGGGACTTCGGGTGAAGTTGGCAGACCTGCCCTTCCATTTTTGTCTCTGGGGACGGGCTGCCAGGTTCAGCTCCAGCCCTGCCCACACGGCCCGCGTCATCCCTCCCACACTCACCGCCGTCTCCTAGCAACCGGCTCGCCCGCCAGCATCCTGCAGCCTGAGGTCTAGGGGGGCTTCCTGGGCGCCGCCGGCCTGCGCTGGGGTCTCCTGCCCGGGGCTGCAATGAGCTCGGCGGCCCAGACGCTTCATCCATCTGGACCCAACGCTTCGCTAGCCAACTGCTTGATCTTTGTGGAGTTGCTGGGAGGGGGGGGTGGGAGGGGGTGCAGATCTGCCTCCCCGACAGGGCATTGGTTTCAGAGCACCCGGTGGTGGGGATGCCATCGTCTTCCCCAGCGAGAACAGTGGGTTATGGGGTTTTCTGGGGTCGCCCCTGCCAGGCACTGCGCCCGTGGGGCTTTCCACGAACGCCCCGCATGGTGAAGGCCAAGCCATCCTCCATTCTCTTCACCTCCCCGCCTCCTGCCACCCCCCCACCCCCCCACCGCCGCAGCTGAGGCCTCACCCCAACCCGTTCCAACAGCCTCCTGGGATGAGATGGACACAAACGGGGTCCTCACTGCCAGGAGGCATTTCCTCTGATGGAGCCGCATCTCGGAGGCAGAGCATGGCTCCAAGCCGCCTAACGCGTTTATTGGGCTACGACAGTGTCCGTGGTCTGTTCTGGGGGATACCGTGGTGAGCAGGGCGGACGCGCTCCCTGCCCACAGAGAGGTCACATCCCTGGGGTAAGGCGGGGGACATGTGATTCTAACCAGGGGTGTGCGGTAGTCAGAAAAACGGTCATGTGACCATCAAAGGCCCTGGGGTAAGGACAGGCTTGGCTGGTCTGAGGACAGCACGGACTCCTGGGTCTGAAGTGGGGTTATGGGGGAAGAGGGTGGCAGACGGGCTTTTGTGGGGCTTTGTGGTTTTATTTTGAGCCCAGCCCTGAGGTCTGGAGTCTGAAGCAGCAGAGGGCCGTCGTCACAGCAGGCAGAAGGGGGGCTTGCACCCGAGCAGGTGGCAGTGAGCTGGGGCATCTAGATGAGAGGCAGGGCCCTGGACGGGGAGTGTAGGGGTGAAGGCCTGCTGCGGGAGGTGGAGAAGGCGGGGATGCCCTCCCCGTGCCCACCTGTGGCTGCAACCAGGGCTAGCTGAGGGGCTGGCTCGGACTCCTGGTGTTGTGGGGAGCGGGGGATGGGGGGCGCCTGCCCTCTGGGAGGTGGTGGCGGCTAGGCGCGGGCTGGCTACAATGAGGCTCGCCCTCTCCCCGAGGGGCTGATGGCCCCCCGGCCAGGCTCTGAGAGGGGGTCCTGGCACCTCCCCATCCTGGCTGGCATGCGCCCTGCCCGTGCTCCGACAGGGCCACTCCCGCTGGACACCGTGCCCCCTCCCCTCCGGGCCCCTCCCTGCTGCCTGAGCCACTGCCCAGGGCACCCTGGCTTGAGGCTGTCAGCAGCTCAGCCCGTGACCAGGTCTCCCCATGTGAGCCCCCCTACCCCCCCCCCGGAGGTCTGCAGTGAGGATTTGGGAAAACTCCAGCAAACTCTTGGTGGGAGACGTGCAGGCAGAGAGCCCCCACCCCACCAACCCCGCTTGGCCGCCGCCTCCTCCAGGAAGCCCTCTGGGCCTCCGACCGTCGTGCTGATGGCCCCACTGTTCATTTCTGGGACCAGGACAAGACGGGTTCCTTGAGCAGCCGTGGGGCAGGTGTGAGAGGAGTGCTTCTGGGGCAGGGTCCCCAAGTGTGGGGATGGCCTGAGGGACCACACGTCAGGGTGCAGCCTCCAGGAAGCACCAGCTCCTCAGACCTCCCCACTGGTCGCACTCGAGGCCTGAGTCCCAGAGGCCAATGCTGGCTGGTCAGGTGCCCCTGCTCGGAGCCCCGAGGGAGCAGTGGGGGGGCCCCGCAGGCGCGCCTGTACCCCGAGCAAAGGACTGCACAGTGCACAGCAAAAGATGCTGTTTATTTACTCCCCGCTCCCCACAAACTCTGGGGTAGCCCTACAAGGACATGAGACACGAAGCCACACTCAGACTGTCCCCTAAACGAAGAGGTGAAACAAAAGGACCAAGTGACTGTAGACTTTTCTCCTTCAGGGTCACGGGGCAGCTGGTCAGAACCCCCGAGCACAGGGAGGCCTGCCAGGGCGGGCGGGGGCTGGGGGGTGCCCCACGTCCACCAGCGCTCCTGCACCAGGCCCCGCCCTGGGCCCACCCACAGCTGCACGTGAGTGGGGCCGAGGGCAAGGCCCAGCCTCGAATGAGAAGCTGCACATGGCAGCATTACTAGAAGGCACTCGGCAGTAGGGGTCAGGGCACACTGGGTCACGGATGCGGCTGGGAGGCGAGGGGGTGCCCAGCCTGCATCCTCACCACCCTCCCTGAGGGCTGACGTCGGTGGGGTGGGGGAGACACCAGCCCAGCTCAGACCTGCAGGCCTCTGGCTTTGGGGTCGGGGGCTTCTCTAGGCTGGGGGTCTGGAGGGGTCGGCTGGGTCAGCAACAGGCTGGGCCTGAGGAGCCCGGCTCTGGGCCTGGCAGCGCCTCGGGTTCACTCCCCACCCCCCAGTGCTCCCTGGCCTGCCTCCCCCACCAAGGGGCCCTGTCCGCCTGATTTCCAGTCCTTGCACGGCTGGAGCATCCCAAGGAAGCGCTCCCGAACCCCACGTGCCTAGCAGGCCACCGGGCGAGTTGAAAGCCAGTGAGAAACACCAGGGTTTACAATCCCCGTGCTGTACCTCCTACCGGCCGGGGGTGGGGGTGGGGTGAGGGGGGGCCTGGGCTGGCAGGGCTGCCCCAGATGGCTCTCACTCCCAACAGGGGGTTTCACTGAAGATCTAAGCACAACTGTTTTTAAAGAAACCCACGGAGCGTTTCTGGAAAGGAAAACACGACTGTCCTCCGGCTGCGGGGACATGTGTCATGTCACTCGCAGGGGTGAGGCTGCTCACGCAGGTCCCTCTCTGCCCTGCCCGCCCTGCTTCCTCTGGACTTCGCACTCCGAGGCCACAACCTCCTCCCGCAGCCTCTTCCGGAAGCGCGGCCCTGGCCTGCTCCTGGGGGGTGGCAGCGGCTCCATGCCCAGGATCGTGTGGATCTGCCGGAAGGCCAACAGGCGCAGGGCGTGCTGGGGGCAGAGAGCCAGTCAGGCCACCCGCGGCCTCCCCTGCCGCAGCCCCGGCCCAGCCCACCGCGGGGACAGGGGCTCCAGGGGTGTCCTTGACAGCAGCCTTCCACCAACCACAGAGCCCAGGGCACACTAGGCGTGAAGAGGTGTGGGGGGCTCGCCGGGCGCTGATGGCAGGACGCTGCCTGGGAGCCCCTGGGGCATCAGCCCCTTCCGGCCTCCCCGCAGGGACCCCAAATACTGCCTCTGCTGTTGCCTCTGATCCAGAGCAACTTGGCTCTTCCTGTCAGGGGCAATTCGTAAGTGCCAGGCCCGATGCGGTTTGTGTGCCACTAGGAGATCTTCTTATAAATAAACTCGCCGAGGAAAGGGAAACCACAGGCGGGGGCTGTGCTGGGGGTCAGCTGAGCTCGAGGCCATGGCTGGGTATTTTCACAGCACAGGGAGGGGGGCCTAGGGGCGCCCAGGGAAGTCCCAGCCAGCAAGGGCCCAGGTGGGTGCCTCGTCGCCATGGCAGCCGGGCTGTCCTGCTCCTGGGAAGGGTCCTGCCACCTGCAGGCCACCCATCTCCGCAAAGGGAAGGGGGGGAGGGAGAGCCCCAAACCATCTGTGGAACCACCAAGCCCTGCTGGGACCTGGGTGCCACCCTCCGCCTGCTGGGGCTGGACTCCACTCAGAGCCATGTGTGCCGCAGAGACTGGCTGTCCTACCTGGGCAGTGGCCGTGAGGTCCTCGCGCTGCTGGGGGGTCATGGACTCGAGGGTGTCCCTCTGGTCTCTCTCGCAGGGATCCTGGAGCCCAGGCCCATCTTGGTGAGGGGAGGTGGGGGCAGTGATGGAGAGAGCACCCTGGTGAAATACTGCCATGGCCACGGGGCCATGCGGGGGCCCAGGCAGGTTCCAGGGGGTCCGCCCCTGCCCTCCCATGCACCTGTGACTGCAGTGACATGAAGGGCCCACAGGACGGGCCCACAGCATCACTTCTCCTCTCTCTTAACCTGCCACCATCCCGCAGCACCAGAAGGACCAGGAAACCCCATTTCTGCATCTAACACCTCAACGTTGCAGTGGGTATGGGGACGCCTTCAGCACCCATAACATAGGCCGCGTGAGCACCTCGGCGTGCAGCCCACTGTCCCGCCGGTTATTTCCTTGGGCAAGATTCCCCGGGCTCTCCCGACACAGGGGGGCCCCTGAGAACAGGGCTGTGCGGCCCCTCCCGCTCTCCTTCGCAGGCGCCGTCCTGAGCCTGTGTAAGCAGCTCCCTCTGCACCTGCCACGTGCTCTAGCGTTCTGGGCTCCGGCTGGTGGGACTGACCTGGCAGGAGTGTCCCCGAGGCCACACACTCCAGGACACGCCTCATGCCGTCCCCAGGGCTCAGGTGCCCACATGCGCTGCTCAGAGCCTTCTCCACCAGCAGCTCCAGGGCCTGGGTTGCGGGGACAGGACAGACACTGAGGTGTAAGAGAGTGCTTGGGCCGCGGGCTCCCACCCCAACAAGAGCCGACCCTGGGCCGAGAGGCCCCCCCACCCCGCCCAGCTCTCTGCCTCTTGCCCACCCTTCCCCGGAGCCTGGCCTCCTGCCCCCGTCACACCCTCTGTGACCCTCCCGCATTTAGCCCTCTCAGAGTGGACCCCGTGTCCACCCCAGGGTGGTGTAAAGAGCGGTGCCCCCCTGGACACGGCGGGAAGTGGAGGTTGGGGAGGGGGCACGAGAACCCTGGTGGCTAAGGCCCGGGGCTGGGCGTGGGGAAGGGCTTCGGGGGCAGAACTGCAAGTAGAAAAACTTGTCCCCAAAGTAAACGAGGGAGGGACAGACTCAGACCCGCCCTTGGGTGCAGGGGTGTGGCGCGATCCCAAAGGAGGGTGTGAGGCAGGGAGTAGCCCAGAGAGGGCAGGGGGCTGGGGGTCTCGCAACACGGCACCTCGGGGCCTGGGCACACGTGCACCCCGTGGTGTCTTCTCCCCGCTTCCCCACGATGGGCTCCAGGGTGACTGCCGGGGGGTGTCAGAGGAGGGAGGGCGCGGGCCAGGCTCCTGTTTTGTGTGCGAGGCAGTGGGTTTAAGGTGCTCTGTGGCAGGCCTCCCCTGGTCCCAAGGGACCCCTGAGGCATGCCCCCCATCCACCTTCCCTGGCTGCTCGGGCTTCAGTGGGCCCCTTTCTGAAAAGCCCAGCCCTGGGACGGGGAGCATCTGTCTGGGACAAAACGGGGCCCCTGGGGATGCCTCACCCAGTCTGGCAGGGCGCCCCACGTGGGCACACGCTGGCAGAGGTCACGAAGGACCCTGAGGACGATCACACACGACTGCAGGCCGCTGGCTCGAGCCTTTGGGGGAAGAGGCGCCCGTGAGCTCAGGGAGCCAGCTGTGAGGCGTGGGGAACAAGGGCCGGCCCGGGGATGTTGGCCAGGAGACATGGGCCGACGCCAGGCAGGGAGCCGCCGTCAGACGCTGCCCTTCATGGTTGTACTCAGAGCCCGCTCTCCTGCATGGTGGGGCAGACCCACGTGGCCCCCTGCCCCTGCCCCCTGACCTGGAACCACTTGGCGTGGCGGAGGGCAGCCAGTGACTGCAGGCACTTCTCTGGGCTCAGGACGTCGTCGGGGTTGGGCTGAGGCACCTGCACTCCTTCTAGAAGGAAAGGGCATGTGGGCACGGTGCCCCTACCCCTCATCCTGCCCCCTGCCTCCCAGGGCCCCAGACCGGCCACCTTCCTCCAGACACTGCAGGGGCCAGAGACAATCCTCTTCCCCTGTGGTTTCGAGGGGAAACTCCAGCCCCCAGTCCCGTGGTGAGCAAATTCCACATCAGGTGGAAAACGATAAATGAAGCCAGATTTCCAGACACTTCCAAGTGCATCCCAACAAGGGAGCAGGAGGGTCAGATTCAAACAGATGCCACCGCTGATGGCAAAGGCCCGGCGTCGGGGAGACACCCTCTGACTGCTGCTTCACACGCGCCCTCCTCACCCCAGGAGGCCCCGGTACAGAGGTCAGCAGTGGGACCCACGTCACTTGTGCATAGATGTCCCCACGGTGGGTGTCAGGCCAACCGCTCTCTCAGGCAGAGACGGAGGCGGCAGGGGTGTGTGCGAGGAGGGGGCTTTTGACACCCCCTCTGGTGACCGCCAGCCAGGGCCCAGACACCCCTGGGGACGCAGGGGACGCCCTCCAGCCTGCGCCGTTAGTGGCCTTGGGCCGTCCACACTTCCCGACCTGCCCCGTCTGCCCCTTGTTTGTGTGCTGGAGCAAAGCCTCATGGGGCCTTCAGCTACAATTTAATGGTGGTTTATCCCCGAGTTTATTTTTTAGATGAATGTGACAGCTGGTAATGTTTTCCACCAACAGTTCAACGGTGCCACTCTTAAAAAATTAAAGTGACAAAAGTGAACCGATTTAAAGAACAGTGTGAGACGTTCGGGGTCCTCAGCTCTGACAAAACAAGCAGAAGGGGCTTTAGGAATGACCGGAGCTTGGGATGCCCGGTGGCTCAGCATTTGAGCGTCTGCCTCCAGTCCAGGGTGTGATCCCGGGGTCCCGAGATCGAGTCCCACATCGGGCCTCCTGCAGGGAGCCTGCTTCTCCCTCTGCCTGTGTCTCTGCTTCTCTCTCTGCGTCTCTCAGGAATAAATAAACAAAATCTTTAAGAAATAAAAATAAAGGAACGACCAGCTGTGGGCCCGTGTCTGTCGGCAGCCGCCCTGAGGCCCAGCTCTTCTCCGATGGCAGCATCCAGGGCTGACAGAAGAGCCAGGGGGCCCCTGGCTGCAGCCCCCACCCCACCCTCACACAGGCAGATGCTGCCCTCAGCCACCAGTGAGTGTGGGGAGCGGGTGGGACGCAGGGGCCCGGCCGCACCTTGGTCCACGGAGGAGTCCTCCCGCATCAGGGGCGAGGTGACACACACAGTGACCTTCATCCTGGGCTCCTCACAGGAGGAAATGATGACGCTGTCTTCAGAGTCAGAGGAGACCTCATACTTATCTTCTGTCACCATCTGTGAGGTGCAAAGGCAACAGGAGTCCGTGTCACTGCAGCTGAGAAGCACAGGGAGACTAGCAAGGATGGAGTCGAGTGACAAGTCCCGGGCTGGACGTCTGGAACCTCCAAGGGACCGAGACATCGCCCCCACCCTGCGGGGGCACAAATATGTAGCAATGCGTACAGATAATGGATCCTACGTGTAGGTACCTTCATATGTAAAGAATGCCCACAGCTCAATAACAAGATGAGCAATCCAATTAAAGAAACAAACTGGTGAGTAACCTAACAGGCAGTTTGTGGACAAGAAACAGAAAGGACCCTCTTTACACAACAACACAGGTTCCTCCCATGGTGAGAACGAAGCAAATTAAAACTATAATGAGGTGCCATTGTCACCCGTGAGGACAAACCTCAAGAAGTCTGAGGGGCAGCCTGGCTGGCAAACCCCTTAAGCACCCATAAACTGCTGGCAGAGGCTGATCTGGAGACATGCACCAGAAGCATCTGGCCTCACGTTGCCCAGCAATTCTGCCCCTGGGAGAAGCTCTCACATGCATACAAGGTCATCTCCTCGCTGGTAACACAGCGCACCGGAAACGGCCTGACTGTCCAACTACACGGGCGGGGCCCTCAAGTGATGAACGGACAGCAGTGAAATGCTCATCGGCCACACGACACGGCGACGCTCCTTAAGCAAGCTTACGCAACTGGACCCAAGAGGTGCTGCCCAGTGAGAACGGCAAGACCACTTAGCGGGTCTAACAAGCTCCAGGGTGGGCATACCAGGGAAGCGTGGGGAGAGCCCATTCCATGTCCTGCCTCCAGGCAAGACCCAGGCGCCCTCTGGCTCTGGTCGCCACCCTTACCTGCCACAGGGGCCCAGGCACAGCCCCCGCCTCTCACTGGGGGGGCCCCTGAGCCAGCCACCCTCACACGCAGGGCCTCCGGGGAGATTTCACAACCGAGGCATGTTTGGTGCAGCGCCCACTGCCCCAAGAGGCTTTACTGCGCCCCTCGCCTTGTTTGGGCAGGGTGCTCCCGAGCTGGCCTGGAGCTTCAGGCAGCCGTGTCTGCACCCCTGGACATGCTCCACACCCCAGCTAAGCCGTCTGGCCCCCACCTGGCCAGCACAGACGAGCCCGAGTCAGGCGGTGGGTTCAGATGCTTCCCCGTCACATCTCCACGTCTTCGTGTGGGGACCAGGGAGACCACGGCCCACCTCAGGGTGCCTGGGGCCTGCAGCACGGAGCTGTGCACCCAGCACCCAGCGTCCATCACCCTCTGACACCACCTGCATATACGCCTGAGGCCACTCTTGGCCCTGAAACGCACCCTCCTCCTGCCCGCTCCCGTGTTCTGCTCAGGGCCTCCTGCTGAGGTGGCTCCAGCGGCCAGTCCACACCGCTGGAGTGGGGCGCACTGCCCATGACCGAGGCCATCCTTGTGGGGCTGCACGTGAGCCATGCTTGCACCCCTGCAGTAGTGAGCTGGAGACTACAGTGAAGGAAACAAGTATTTACCGATTTACTTAAAGATTAACTATGAGAGAGAGTGAGTGAGCTTGAGCCCACTCATGTGGGCATACAAGGGGCGGGGGAGAGCAGAGGAGGAGGGAGAGGGAACCTCAAGCAGATCCCCTGCTGAGCACCGAGCCCGTTGCAGGGCTCGATCCCATGACCCTAGTATCATGACCTGAGCCTAGATCAAGAGTCCGACGCCTAACCGGCTGAGCCACAGAAACGAGTATTTACGTGGCCAAGTGGGGGCACGTCACTCCTCTGCTCAGAACCCTCCTGTCTTCCCACTTCCAGGGAAGTGGTGTGATCCAGGCCCCCGTGTGCTCGGGCACACCTGCCCCGCGGCCACTGCAGATGCAGGTCCTTCTACAGGGAACACTGTAGAAGGGTCCCCCACCTTTCAAGGCCACCCCGGTCTCTAGCTCCTGCCTCGAGCGCTCCACCCCATCGGGACGCAGGCCTCCCACCACCCCGTGTGATGTGCCTCCCCGCTCCCGCCAGTGCTCCCTCCTTGGCATCAGGCTTTCACTTCTTTACCGACACGCTGGAGGTTAGCTTGCTCTCGTGCTCCCTGGTTGTGCGTCCTGACCAGAGTGGAGATGTGCCGGGTTCTGCGCGGCCCCCATGCGGGATTCTCCCAGGATCGGAGGCTGACACACCAGGAAGGGCCCCTACACACACACCCCGGAACTGATTTTTTTTAGCCTGAGATGATCCATTTAGATCACAAGGCCACCTCAGTCCTCCCGCAATTGTTTCTGGGGAGAAAGTCCCAGGAGCCCAGGCCGCCTCCCGCTGGCCCCAGACACCGCTCTGGCTGCCCCAGCACAAAGGGCCCCGTAAGGTTCTCGGCTCCCCTTGCCCCCGCAGTGGCTGGTAAGTCAGCACTGCCGCGACGGGACGCTGTTGCTGGGACTTACCCTGAAGTCACCTTAGGAAGGAACCCCGGCGTTCCTCCCCCTCTTGTCAACCTTTTAATGAAAACAACCTGGTTTGCGTCTAACAGCCAAGCCTCTTGTTTCTTAGAACCGCGTGGAAACAAGTCATCCCGCCTGGAGCCCACGGGCGGAGCTGAGGCTCTTACCGGGATCTGGCGGGGCAGCTGCTCCGAGATTCTCCGCAGCAAGGCGCGAGTGGGCTTCTGCGAGCAGAGCAGGGTCAGCTGCACCGTCCTGTCTCCCCGCAAGAGGAGGCCCTTTGCCAGGAGGCCAACCCGCATCACGCCCTTCAGGACCCGAGCTGAGGAGGAGCCGCCGCTGCGAAGACAAGCCCACAGAGGTGTGAGACCCGCGGGGCTAGGGGGGTGGGGAGGAGGCACTGCCGCCGGGGTCCCTGGCTCCAGCACTCACGGGCTCCTTGCCAAGTCTCTGCCTCAGCTTCCGCACCTGTGAAATGGGCACATGCCCCGGGGACAAGGCTGCTGGGCTGCACGTGCTCAGTAAGGGCTGGCGGTTGTTACTCCTTCCGGATAATCTGCACTCTGACAAAGGCCCCCAAAGGCCATCCCCGTGGGCCCTGGTCACCGGCGGGCGCCACCCACACAGGCCCTTGGCTGTGTGTCCCCTCCAAGTGTCTCTGGGGTCACGGCACCCCCACCTCAGCTCCTTGGCTGGGAGGCCTGCCAGGTGCTCTGCCGGGAGCCTGCCCTCTCCCCTCAGGCCCAGGTCCCGAGGCCAGGGGCGCCCCACCTGCAGCGGCCTGACGCAGGTCCCTGCTCGGCCCTCTGAAGGCCTGGCCTGCTTGCTGCCGTGTGAACCTGACTACTGCCTCTGCCCAGCGCAGCCCCTCTGCAGGTGGGGGACACACCAGCTTCTCCCAGGCCGGCTTGAGGCCTCCCAGCCGCCACCCTCTCCCTCGCGGCCTCGCTGACTCCCTCCGTGGGCCTCTGCCTCCGCCCCTCACCAAATCACTGCCTCGGCTCAGGAGCTGCCACCCTTTGGTTTGACACTTCTTGGGATAGGAGGGGCTCCAATTTTTACAAATCCATTTATGTATTTCTTTTTCTTTCTTTTTTAGGTAGGCTCCATTCCCAGTGAGGAGCACAGTGCAGGGTTTGAACTCACAACCCGGAGACCAAGACTCAGACACTTAACCAACTGAGCCGCACAGGTGCCCCCACTTATGTATTTCTTGTTGGTTTCTGGACCACAGTGCGCTGGAGCCCAACGTGGCCAGAGAGGCCTGGGCCGAGAGGCCACCAGCAACACGCAGATGGGAGATGGCTGCAGAGGGGCCGAGGTCCACGGAGGGCAGAGCTCGGGGGCAGGTGGTGGGGGCTGCAGACACAGAGACTCAGAGCTCGCCAACCAGTCCGGATCCTAATTCATACCCACTGTAAAACAAAACCACCCCCAAACCCACAGTCTGACCTCTGTGGGACAACAGGAAATTTCAACCCTGTGTATCTGACGATGTTGAAGGATTGTTGTTGAAATATAATGGCATTGTGGTTTTGTTAAGTCAAACAAGAGCCCTCGCTGCTTAGGATGGGCTTCTGGCCTCTCAGCTCCCCTCTGAGGGATCAGCTGGGACAGGCACCAGGCGTTCCCCAGGGCTTCACCGTGTGTATGTGACAGGCCCTCCACAGTAAGCGAAAACCCCCAAACACGAACACACTCTCTGCCCCCAGCTGAGTAAATGACTGTCTACTATGATCCCGTGTAAAGAAGGCACATCCGTGTTTTTGAACAATGACCTAACACGTGACGTGACATAAATGTCAAGTGAAAGCTTAAAATGGGGTCAGGGCGCCTGGGGGGCTCAGTGGGTGAGGTCTGCCTTCCACTCAGGTCGAGATCCCGGGGTCCTGGGATCGAATCTCGCCTCGGGCTCCCTACTCAGCGGGCAGTCAGCTTCTCCCTCTGCCTCTGCCCCTCCCCCAGCTCATCCCTGAGCACTCTCTTAAAATAATTTTTTTTAAAAAGACCAAGGTGAGTTTTGTTCTTCGAGCACACAGCGGCTGCAAGGTTTAGGGGAGGCTGACTCATGGCCGTGGGGCCACACAAATCTGCAGGTCCTGAGCTGAGCATGGTGGGCGTGCGCACATCCCCAACAAGCTGGAATGGGACTTTGCCCTCTTGTACGAGGACGCCCGTGGGGAACAGAAAGCGCGTCTCTTTGCACCCCTGCTTCCACCAGCACTCGAGGTGGAGGAAGGGCACTCTCCTGGGGGAGGCCCTGGAACCCGGGGGCGTTTGTGTCAGGATGACCCCCTGGAGCTCACTCATGGGGGGCACACATGCGCTTTCCTAGGGCACAAGTCTGCAGAACAAGAAGCTCCTGAGTGGCACCCGCCAGATGCAAAAGGACCAACCCTGTGGGGGTTCCTCTTGCAAGTGTGTGCAGTGTCCGGAACAGGTCGAGCACAGGGACAGGACGTGCAGTGGTGGGTGCCAGGGCCGGGGTGGCCAATTTACCAGGGCTGGATTTCTGCATGAGGGGGCGGAAAAGCTCTGGAAACAGATGGTGGCAATGGGCACACAACCCGTGAGTGTCCCCTGTGCCGCTGGACCATACGCACGAACGTGGAGTACTTTAGCCTCATACAAACAACTTGAAAAGGAAACGAAGCCGCCACTCGGAGAGAAAGGCCTTGGAAAGGCAGACTTCCTTCAGATCACAGGCAGCGGGGCCTTCCCACCCACAGTCACAGCGACCGGAATAGTGACTCACGCGGGGGCGCTCCAGGGCATCCTCCCGCCAGCGGGGGTGGGGCCAGAGGAAGAAGAGGGTCAGAATCACCCTAATCTCCACTTCACAGAAGAGGAACAGTCTGGTTCGCCCTTCGTGAAGTACATTTCTAGATGCACCTTCCGTAGGAAATGCCAGTTTGGGGAATGTTCTGCCCACGGGTGGAAAGCCCCAGAAACTGGGGCGAGCTCAAAGCCAATCAGGGTGAGGCTGCCTCTGCCCTCCTGCCAGCCAGCCACGTCCCATCCGGGACCCTGACCCTCCCCACTGGGGGGACCTCCCTGCCCCGCCAAGTCACCCCGGGGCCCTGGGAACGGAGAGTGGCCCCCACTACCTGTGCTCACCACCCGCATGCTCCGGGCTCTGGGAGCTGTCCTTGGCCAGCGTGTCAGACACCAGCTTGAGGGCGCGCTCCGAGTGGGAGACGGCCTTCTGGACGGCCAGGAGCTCCTCCTCCGTGGGGTAGATGGCGGCGTGCTTACACAGGATGTGCCGGTCATCGCTGGTCTCCCGCCACGTGGACTGCAGGGCAAGGCATGCACGTCACAGGCTGGCTGCGAGGCCCCAGGCGCCCGGTGGGCAGGCGACAGGAAGTTAGCCCTGCTGAAGCACAGCACATGCAGCAGAAGGCCACAGGGAACCCCGGAGTCAGGCTGGCTTCGGGGGTGACAGGCAAGTGGCAGCAGGGAGCCAGGCCAAGGGAGGACAGGAACCCATGAGGCGTGGAACAGCGGGGATGCGGGACTGTGTGGGGCCAGAGGGCTCCCCTTTGGTGACATTCTTACATTTCTGAGCCAGAGGCTTTTCAGCCAACTCAGTGGGGCTCTTCCCCTCAGCAAGGTGGGAACGAAGGCTCCCATCCAAGCCTAGGCCCAGCCTGCACGGACGGACGCCAAGGGCTCTGGAGGGAGGTGGTGGGCCGGGCCTCGGAGCCGAAGGAACTCCCGTGGCCAGTTGTGGGGCCTGGGCCTGGGGCTCCTGCAGGTGACCGGTGATGGGGTGGGCAGGCTATGGCTCTCAGGCCCTGCCAGCTCCCACCCCCGGGCCCCTCTTAGGGGGGTTTCAGTTCAAAGTCATGTCCCTCACCCTGGAGAACTCAGGTCCTAGCGAGGGCTTGAGAGGGTCACCTGTCTGCGGGGCCTCCACCGTGGGAGGCATGATGGCACCAAGACAAGGCCACCACCCACCAGAGCTGAGCCGGCAGGCGCCCCTGGCCTGCTCTTGAGGGAAGGAGGGTGCTGGTCAGGTGATGGGGGTCCAGGGTGCTCATCCTGGGCCTGGGGCCCCTCCTCCAGGCGTCTCCTGCACAGCTCGTGGCGCCTGCCGGGGAACCAGGGGCGAACAGGGTACTCAAGTGGCTGTAGGCCCCACCGGCTGGTCACATCAGAACCACACCTGGTCGTGGGGCTCAGCAAGGCTGGCGGCTCCAGGACCACCAGGGAGGGTCTCAGCTGCCCGATGGGGCCCTGAGAGCCCAGGAGATGGAGGCAAGGTGGGCTGGGAGGACACAGGCCAAGGGCAGCAGCTGGGGAAGGCAGGGGCGGCTGCAGCCCCCGGTATGTCCAGGGCTTCGTTCCCCAGCTCAGCCACGGCCCAAATCTTCCATCAATCGTACACTAGGTCAGAAAAGGCTTCCAAACTGCTCCAGATGGTGAAGGGGGACATAACAAATGTGTGTGTGCTCAGGGGACACCAGGATTCAGGGGGGACGCAAGGAACACTAAGATTTAGGGGAGACAAGAGATCAGGACACAGGAGGTCAGAGGGACTCTGGGGAGAGAGGGAGACACAGAGCATGCCCAGGAATGGGGGCCCCGAGCACCTGCCCCGTGGTCACGGGGGCTGCGCTGTTCCGCATTTATTATGTGACAGTAGCACAGATCCTCAGTGTGACCGTCTCCCCCAAGGGTGGTGTCCCCTGCTAGCCTCTCAAGGGTGAGCACCCGGGTCCTCAAGCCTGAAGCGAGCAGAGGGTGTTCGGGAGGGTGGGGGCGGCCTGGCAGGGACCCTACGCACCCCATCCCCACGTACCAGCGTCGCATCTCCTCAAGCCGCTTCTTGGTCAGCTGCCTCTGCTTCCTCAGCCTGGCCTCCAGGAGCTTCTGGGTTCTGTGGCTGGGCTTCAGTGCAATCGGAAGGTCGGGGTTCACTTTTTTCTGAAAGTGGAGGAAGGGCCGTGAGACAGGAGACCTTCGTTTCCATGAGCACTGGGAGCCCCAGGAGCCCCCATGCCCACAGCCTCCTGTGCTGACTCAACAGTCGGGGCTCCATCCCACAGAGTCCTAAGGCTCCTGGGACTGGGAGCCACAAAACAGGGAGCTTCCAGGGGGAGTTTGCCCAGCAGACACCCGGGTGCGGCCACCCAAGGAAGCAGGGCATTCGGCCCCACCTTGAGACACTTCACTGACCCTGGATGGGTCGCTGCAGAGCCAACCCCAAGTGCGTATTTCTAATCAAGCAAATTCAGTAGAAGCACCATTTGTGTGAAATTCGGCAATCTGAGTTTTCTATACTGTTGCAGCTTCTCTCTTCCTTCATCATCCAGAAAGTACAGCACTGTCTAGGGAGCACTCACTGCCAGCAACGGTCCACGTGTACACGTCCCCCCCAAGCAGGCACATCCCTCAGCTGCAAACAGTGGAGTGAGGTGCCCACACATGCCACCCCGGGGACAGACCCTGAGCCCACGACGCTCAGAGAGGTAACCAGACACAAGAGGCCCCACGGGGTGTGAGTCCATGTGTGTGACACGTCCAGGACGGGCTCCTGCACGGATGGGGAGGGGGCCCATGGAGCAGTGTGTGCAGGTGACTGCTAATGGGGATGGGACCTCATTTCGGGGTGATGGAATGTTCCGGAACTAGAGAGAGGAAATGGTCACAGTGTGTGATTATACAGTAGTAAAAGCCATGAAACCATACCCTTTATATGGGCAAATTGTGTGGCGTGTGAGTGACGTCTCAATAGAGCAGCTAGAAAGGAGGGGCCCTGTGAGAGAGCCACTCATGTGTGCTGTGCACAAGCTTGCTCGTCACCCATGTGCACACGTAACAAGACCCACGCTCTGCAAACCTGTGAGAGGGAGGCTGAGGGGGGCAGCTGACAGCTGCGCTGGCTGGGCCCATGGGGCACAAAGGCCCACAGGCCACCCCCTTGGGTGGGAAGTGGAGTGCACGGACGAAGGCCCCACTGGCGCTGGAGGCCCTCAGCACCTGTTGCCCAGGGCCCTCGGAGGACTGGCTCCCTGAAGACACTCAGCCTGGACAGCCCAGCACTCCTGCCACATCTGTGGGCCCGGGTCACATCCTCCTGCCCCCCAGGCTCCCCACTCAGCCCCGCACGCTAGCTGGGGCTCCTGGTAGAAACCAGAAGAGAACACAGACGCTGAGAGCCTGGGGATAGGAGGCGGCATCTGTGAGCCCATCCCATGTGCTTCGAGGACCCCCTCCCGCAATAAGCGGGCACGGAGTTTTACCACTAAACCTTCCTTGGCAGGAGCTGAGACACCACGGGAGACACAGCTAGTGCTGGGTCTCCTCCCACGGTCCCCAGGCAGCGGGAATGAGGGTGTGGACACCGCCTGACAGGCCCATGGGGCCTGGAGCTCCCGGCAGGGGCTCAGACTCAGGACGGGGGGCCAGGGCGGGGTGCGGGAAGCCTGGCCAGTCAACCCCACATACCTTGTACTGCAGCCGATGTCGCCGTCCCCGCACATGTGTGTCCCTGGCCGTGGGGTCGCCAAAACTGCACTCACACAGCCTGCAGTGGAACCGGATCACCTTGCCTTCCTCATTGCACACCTGAGACACACAGACCTGCTGAGTCGGCTGCTGCCCACGCAGTGTGTCTAGTCCCCGGGCAGGGGGACCCCGGTCCCCTCAGGGGCACTGAGCCTCCCCCGGAGGCCCTGATAAGGGACAATGGAGCCGTCCAGGCCTGCATGCTGGCTTCCTGCCTGCCAAGAGGCCTTCAGGGGAGCCAGCATGTCACCAACGCACCCTCCTGTGCCCTGGGTCTCCCCTGCCTCCACCCCCTTCCCCCACCTCCGTCCCCACCCCAGGTGCAGACACCTGGGGCCCAGGCCCTGTCCTGCAGAACTCCTGCCTCTGTTCTGTGGCGAGTTCCACCCATCACAGGCCCTTCCGTGCTTCCTGCAGCTTTTATGCACCTTATCTCCTCCACTACTAAATGACGGGGCTTCCTACGGCAGGACTCCTATCTGGTGTGGTTATTTTATAAGGGACAGAACAGAAGAGGCTGAATGGGTTGAACAAAGAGAAGAAATGGTGATGCTCACACACTCCCTTTCAGCCACTGAGGGGGAGCCTGGGAACTATGGAAGCGGCCAGTGGAGGCGGCTTCCAAATTGGGATCTAGAAGGCTGTTCAAGGCAGACCGTGCAGGGCCACTGCTTGGGCTCTGGGCATCTGGGCGATGCCACAGAGGCCACACACCAGCTCCTAATGCCAAGAGTCCTGTGCCTCTGTCTCAGGCCTTCCTCCTAGGGTCTGAAACCTAGTGCAGGGACCTTCCAGTGAGTTCTGCAAGATGGTTCACTGAGTCTGCCCGTGGACAGATGTGTACATGTCAGATGGAGAACTGGGGTGCAGTCTTAAAGCCTGACCCCTGCCAGAGTCCTCTACCACAGCCCAGAGGCAGAGCAGGGTGCACACCGATGGTCCAGGGCACGGCAGCTGCCTGGCAGCGTTACCTCTTCCACGTAGCCTGGGCCCACTGGCTGCGCCTCACAGCTTCCAGAAGCTTCTGCAGAGCCTCCTCGGGTGGGTGGATTTCCAGGCCTGTCTGGTATGGGGTGTGCCCGCTTGCCCACTGGGGGTCTGCTGCCTGCTGCCTGCGGCTTGGAAGGCCCTGGAAAGAAAAGCTGGATTGCTCATGACCTGCTCCAGCGGGGAACCAGGGCCGGCTTCTGTTCTGCTAGTGTGAAGGGTGGAACGCCATGCAAACCGAGGTCTCCTACTGCCCATTCACCCCCTTGTGACATCAGCCAGTTTGGTGCCAATCTGAACACATCCACAGGGCGGCCCTGGAGGCAGGCCCCTTGCCAAGGAGCCCACGGCCACACCAACTCTGCAGCCCTTGGGTCCCGAAGATGGAGGTCCTGGTGGACCCAAGGTCATGGTCAACTGAGCCCCGTGAGGCAGAGTCATTGGGCCTCAGAGGGGAGACGTGTCTTGTTACCACACTGCTCTTTGGTTTGGTCTTCGATGTTGTGTGGTGATTCAAAACACAGAGCTGCTGAGGCTTAAAATAAGTCCTCCTCCCCCTTCCTGGGCAAGGCCTGGAGGTGGAGAGCAGACCTGTCGGCCAGATCTGAGTCTGAATCTCACCTCTAAGAGCTGTGTATGAGGGGGCCCAGGGCCAGGTACATGACCTCACCTCACCTCTCTTTTTCCCTCTGCAAACTAGGATTACGGCAGAACCTACTTTCCAGAGTCATGGAGGGCAAACTGGTCAACGCCGTGGACTGAGCATCTCACACGCGACCCTAGCTGTTAGCCACTCAATCTGCACCACCAGGCAGCCTTTACTGCCCGGGCCCCCCCAGGGGAGGTGGGACCACAGGTGGGGGGCCCAGGAGCCCACTTTAATCTCCCCAAGACCCACATAACTCATCAGAGCCTGCTCTGTTCACCTTGAACACTGGGGTGTGAATCATGCTGTCACCATGCTGGCTCTCAAGGGTGTGGCCCAGAGGTGGCCGGGATACGGGAGAGGCCTGCCTCTCACCATCCCCACCCTCCATCCAGAGCTTAGTTCCTCTGGAAAGATGTGATGGCTGTATACATACACACAAGTTAACGGGACAAGCACTTCTGTGAAATTCCAGCATGAGGAGTGAGTCAGGGCACGGGCATTAGGCTGTGACACGCAGACATGTACCCACACACGTGGCCTTCAAAGCTGGTCTCTTGGCTATTGCTGGCTTGCTCAGGGTGCACATGCTGGGGCCAGCAGGGGCTGTGGGCTTGGCAGAGGCCGTGGAAGGACTCTCCGTGGTGAGGGGGGCTGGCTTGCTGGTACAGGTGGCCTGGGCCGAGCTGGAGTCCCCTGGCACTGGTTCTATGGCAGGGATGGGCTTCCCCAGCTGAGTGTGCAGCTTGAGGACCTGGAACAGACCCAGGCCCCCTGTCAGGGCCACCTCCAGGTCTGATTAGACCTCCTAAAAGAAGAGCACCTGGGTGGGTGTAGGAGGCAGGCAACCTGGAGAAAGGGGGGTGCAGGTCCCATCCCAGGCCCCAGGGACATGCCTTTGGCTCCCAAGCATCACTTCCTGCTTCCAGGCCCACTAGTCATGCCCCGGAAGGACCTAGAACATCTCAACACCCTGTGCTGCTGACATCCACTGCTCTGTCCAAACGGCATGGTCTCAGCTGAAAGACAGAGCTGTTTTTGGCATCCCAAGCAGCAGCCCTGTGCCCACCCCAGATGGGTACAGGGACCACCTGCTAAGATGTATGACGGTCCACATGCACGGATACACTCCATGTTCCCTTGGGACTGTGCATCCCTGTCCAGGGACACGGATTCACGTAGGATTTGGTGACACCCTATTCTTGGCATCCCGGCACCCCCCTCAATGCATTTACTACACGGACTACCCCACCACCTGCAATATCTTTGCTGACAACCACCTCAGCCCTGGCTTGGGTGCCGCGGCTCTGACACTTACAGCTCAGACCTGCCTCCTCCCAGAGCTGGCTGCAGGATTCCTTGGCCCCTGGAACAGCCCAGCCCTGTTGGGTCCCAGCTCTCTTGCTGCAGCCCCGCACAGCCAGGCCTGTGTACCCACTCTTCCCACTCCTCTGCTTGCTTGCTTCCCTTCCCCCAGGTATCTGCTCTCTTCTTTTGTGGGCTTTGTGGGTTTGCTCAGGCTTCTGAGAGCCTGCCCTGGCTGGGCTGAGGACAAGGCCCTTGAGGAGGGGAGAGGAAAACACAGGACCTTGGGCAGGTGACCTTGGGGTGGCCCAGCTGGCAACAGGAACTGGAGGAGGGCCGGCAGCGGGACAGGGCAGGAGCAGAGGCCCCAGGGGCAGGAGGTAGCAGAGAGCGGGTTCCGTGTGGGCCCACAGACGGGGGCCTCCCTAACTCTCCTGCCTGTTAACTATATGGCGCCAGACTGGTGTCCCACCAGGCATTCCTCGTCCTGCCTTCAGGGCACACCCCCTGCAAGTGAGCATTACCTAGCTGGTTAACAATACCTTTTGGGCAGGGCTGCTGCTTTTCAAAAAGCTCCCTCTGGAGCCCAGCAAGGGCAGACCCCCCAGGGAGAGAGGTGGGTGTCTCTCTACCTTCTCTAGCCAAGGGGATCCCACTGAGTTTCTCATAACCTGACATAATACAGGCACTTTAAGGCCACAGGAAAAGGTTGATATTAACATAGTAATAAATATAAAAAACACAGATGTTAAAGAATCTCATACCCATTAAAACACTGCTATCAAAATTGACATGGGAACTTGACCATTTTAATTGTATTCATTTGATCTACTTCTTTTTAAAAAGCAGAACCCCAAACTGAACATGCAGTGTGACCTCATCTGTGTTCCAACTCTCGTTTCCATAAGCAGGTAAACATCCCTAAGGCCCAGAGCAGTCTCCCCTGGGGTCTGGGAATGAATGAGGCCTCGATCCAGGGGGCGGGTACAACTTCTAGAACATCCCAAGGAATGCAGCTGCATGGGCCCCACAGGAAAAGCTTCCTGTCGTGGGCAGCTGCCCCCTGGGAGGCCACCGTTGTGGGGGCATGAGGGCTCCTACCTTCTGGTGCCTGGCCCCCCGGATGTGAGCAGCGTAGGCTTCTGCCCCCGTGCATGACACGGCACAGAGGCTGCAGCGCAGCTGTGCCTGCACCCCGCACGGGATGCCGTTGGGCTGCGTGCCCGCCTTCTGGGCCGCCTCTCTCTTTTTGTGCTTCTGTCCCTCCAGGTGCTCGCGGTAAGTCTGCAGGCAGAGAGTGAGAGCGGCCTGAGAGGCCCGTGTGTGCAGTTCCGTGATGGGGGAGACCCAGGCCTCCTGCTCCCCTCCCTCCGTTCACTGGCCACCCAGACGGTTGTGTGCCACTTTATTAGACCTGGTCAACAGGCCAGAAGCTCAGCCTGAAAGACATAAGTTTTCTTTCTCTTCTCGGAAAATCAATGACCTTCTTGAGTTTCAGGGGCTACTTCAAAGGAACATGCTGGCTATTTAGAATCTGACCTCAAGAACCACACAAGACATGCTACCAGAATCACACAGGGCACACTTCCTTGTCAGAAGGCGGCGAACACGCCGGGGGGTCTGTGAGGGAGGCTGCGTGAGTCACCGGCCTGTGCGTGCTGCACCAGCGTGCCCGAAATATCTGATGGCGTCTGGCAAGTGACCAAGCTCTTACGGGGCATTCCAGACTCCCCTCTGGGAGTCCTTAAGATGAGGCCAGCTGCAGTAAGCATGCTCTAACTGGGCCTACTCAGCCACCTCGCCAAGAATCGGCCTGCCCTGGTGACATGGGCCAGTGACACAGGCCAGTTCCAGGGCAGATGGGAGGCAGCCAGCAACAGGAGCAGGAGAGGAACTCTCTGGAGCTCAGGAAACTTATGAGCATTTACCTGAGCAACAGAACACACACGCACGCACGCACGCACGCACCCCCCAGGTAAAGGCCTGTGGGGCAGAGAAAAGCCTGGAAGGACTCCATGGTGCTAAAGGGAAAGCCGCTGTAAGTACAGCAAGTAAGGCAGCTCCGGCCTGCTCCTACATGAACTACACCAGTTAACCCTCACGACTTCGACCATCTGAGGTCTAACTTCTGGCTTCATCACTGTGGCGAGTCTGAGTTCCTCAGTTCTGGGCCCCAGGCCTCCCCCTGACACATGGAGGTGGTGATGAAATGACCTACAGGACGTGGGGCGCAGAATCTGAAGCTCAAAGTAAGAGGAAACATTTGCAACTGTCTTTCTGCCACCAGGCCTCCCACCATCAACATGCATTCAGTGTGTGAAGACAAAGACCAGGAAAGAGGCCTGTCTGGTGCTCCTGCAGCTCCAAGGACTCCCCTTGGCCACATAGGGGACCCACAGTCCCCATAGTCCTGGGGGCCCCATAGTCCACTGGGGGCCACTGAGAAAGGCCCTCAGGACACCCCGAGACCAGGTACCAGGGACGAAGCCCTGCACATGTAGCAGATGGGAGTGAAGGGCCGGGGGTAGGTAACTGCTGGGAACACGCAGGTCCCCGAGGTGGCGGCGGCAGATGCAGGGGCCCACCCAGGTGCTAAGTCTGCACAGAACAAGATGCACACACATGTACACATGTGCACGACAAGCTGCAGACATCTGAATAAGGAGGATGGGTCGCATCAATGTCACCACCCTGGTTGTGATACTGACTGCAGCCCGGAAACTGGTGGCCTTGGGGAAGTCGGGGCAGGGGGTACAGGGACATCTCTGAGTCATTATCTACACCTGCTTCTGAACCCACAGCTTTCTCAGCAAAAATTCCAATTTCAAGAGAGCTATTAACCTTAGCAAAAAAGCTGGCATTGACAAGAGCTCAAGTTTCTGTGGCACATGGCACGTCCAACAGGTGCCAACCTCGCAGCAGGCATGTGTCCCCCTCGTGGGGGAGCGCCCCACACTCGCTCAACACAGTGCTGTGCAGGGCCTAGAATTAGGAGTGGAGGCTTGTGTTTGGCAAGTGAGAGGACCCAAGAATCGCAGAGATGCAGAATAAAAATCCCGCAGAGAAGTAAAGACAGGAGCAGAGAAAACTAACCTCCCCTTAATGAGCACGTGTTTTACAGTGGAAAGAGCGCACAGAAGTTTCAATCAAGAGGCCTGTAAAGAAAGCAGGAGGCAGGAAAGGGCCCCAGCCTGGCCAGGGAGGTGGGGGCTGGATGGGGGTACTGGGGGCTCCCCATGCACCCCGATAGCCTGCCATCCTGGAATCTACGCACTCCTCCAATTTCCAGCTTTCTCTCAGAGTAATAAAAAGAAAACAAAACTAGCATGAGGTACTCTGTGAAGAGGGAGCCCTGGGGTCTGATGACCTCAGACTGCGTGAGAGCTGGGTTATCCGTGAGTGTGGCTGCGGGATCTCCCTCTTAGACACCGACAGGCAGACACAGGCAAGCACACACTGGCCTCCTTAGGTGGCCCTGCAGCGAAGGCACGCCACCCCCAGGCGCCTCTTGGAACTGCGTCTACCGGACCCATCAGGGTGCGGAAGAGGGGGCCCTGTCCGTCTCTGCCTACTCAGGCAAGGGAACCCCCAGACCACGTTCCCACCGCCAGCAGTCAGTGCTACTACGCCTGCCCTCTGTCTTCCACAGCACACCAGAAAGGCAACTCTGACGTGCACTTGACACTGCCAGTTTAATAACAGGCCTTTTGGGGCAACGACCCAGATGTCTGGTTAGCCAGGTGGGGGAGGGGGCTCTCCCAGCCCACAGCGGGCAGGACGGTCCCCAGAAGGTCTTCTGGGCCTGCTCAGTGGGGGTGGATGGCAGCTGACCTGAGGACCAGCGCAGCTGATCTTGCAGATGTCACAGTAGTGAAGCGGGGGCTCCCTGGGGCCGCCCTTAGGTTTCGGCAGTTTGGGGGGAGCCAGTAGCTTCCCAGAGAAGCTGCCGGCAGAACTGGCACTGGGACTGCTCCCTGAGCCGCCCCACAGGGAGCCTGGGGGCTCCGGGAATGGGAGGGGTGGCAGTGGGGGGCAGTGAGGACCAGCCGCCGAGTGCACCGCTGCTTCATAGCCCAGGTAGCTTGGTCCTAGGAAGCAGAGAGAAAAAGGAGACAGGAGGATACGGGTTGGTTTCAAGGACACTATTAGAAGTATGGCCTGTGCCTGCACGTGCCCGGAAGCACGTCTCACCTGTGTCCGGGGCAGAGGTGGGGCTGTAGGAGGTCGGGGTGTAGGAAGGCAGGGCAGAGACAGAGGACTCGGGCAGAGTGCTGGTCGCCAGCGGGTAGGTGTAGTTCTCCATGCAGCTCGAGGCCAGGGTGCCGGGTGGCTGCCCTGCCTTGGCCATGGCCGCTGGTTGTAGGGCTTGGCTGTCCCCTCCGCTGGGCTGGATGGAAGTTCCTTTAGTCCCTGCGGGGCAAGCAGAGTCTCTCTGCAAAGCCACCCTTTGGAATGACCCCCAGCAGACAGTGGCGGCCACATCCCCTGTGGCCGTGGCAACTGGCTGCCCCAGCCGCTACTGCCACACCACCCTGGAAGTCTAATAAGCTTGGCCGAAGGTCAGAGCCCCACTCTCTTCCATCTCTAAACTCCAAGTCCTCAGCAGAACTCACCTCCTTGGAAGAAACTGGTTAGCGCCCCTTCTAGTTCTCTCTCTTTCCTTCCTGCCCTCTCTGTCCTACACCAGCCCCACCCCCCGGCCGGGAAGATAGCCCTGACATGCACGGGACCCCTGGCCCTCCTCTGAAGCTGCAAAGTTTGAAGTGCGACTTCGCGGCAGCTCCTGGCACCGTAAGGCCAGTGCCTCCTTGCAGAGGCCCACCTGGCTGGCAGAGCGTGGCGGTGGCTGGGAGCTGCGGCTGGCTGGAGGCAGGCAAGTGACACTGTCCGTCCTCGTAGCTACCGTAGCTACTGGCACCTGCCGACGGTCCGTAGCGGTAACTGTCCTGCAAGGGTGTTACCAGAGAGACACAGAGGAGGGGAAAGCCCCTCAGGGCAGGGGTGAGGGCTGCCCTCGCTCGCCCCACAAGTGGCACACGTTCACATGGTTCCTGAGCTCCTGCTCTGAACTGGGTCATTTCAGGAGCTGGGGACACACTGACCAGTGACATGGACACAGCTGCTCTCGTGGAACTGTTAACATCTGAGAGCAGACATGCTCTGAGGAGTGCCTAGCTTGGTGACAGCTCCTCGGAGGAGCAGTACAGGCAGCGCACATGTGAGCCAGGGCTGGCACGCGGAGGCAGCAGGTGGGCTTGCCGACCAGAGGACGGTAAGAGCACAGGGCTGTGCACACGCCATCTGGACAGGTGGGGCCGGGGGCTCGAGGAGGGTCTGGGTGCCATGCCAAGGGGCATTCGGGCTGTTGCGTGGAACAGGTCAACATGCAGGCAAGGACAACAGCAGAGGCCAGGCAGCGCCCCGGGGGTGGGTATGAGTTTAGGGGTGGCCTGGAGGGAGAGTTTCAGATGCAAGGGAGGGAGGAACAAGGCAGAAACAGGCAGTGTGAGCTTTGCAAGCTGGGCAGCCCATGGTACCACCCGCTGACGTCAGGGGTACATGTGGTGGGGGGCAGAGGCTCGGGGGTTGGACCATGCCCAGCTTGGGACATGTTGGCAATTCCAAGTGGAAATGCAGCAGCCAGATGTCTAGGCTCAGAGCTCTGAGTTGAGGAGATGGCATCATCAGTGCCAGAAGTGCCCTATGAGCACAAGCTCATCCCCTGCTGCCTGTCAGGGGCAGGGACAAGAGCAGGAAGGTAAGTCTGTGTGTGTCCCCATTTGTCTGCCACTACGGGCTGCCCAGCGCGCATGCCCACTCAACGTTATCCGTGTCTTCAACAGTGCTAGCCAAAGAAAGGCAAGGCTGATACCTGGTAGGAGGAGGCCATGGTGGGTGCCAGGGCGGGCTCCTGGGGCTGGCTAGAGTGGAGCTGGTACCCGCCATATCCCGCTGGGGTGACAGGCCCGGGTGGCTGGGTGGCTGCAGGGAACGGTGGGGTCATAGTGGGACGCATTCCAGCAGCGGGGCCCGAGGCGAGGCTGGCTCCAGCGGTCGGGAGGGGAAAAGCCATCGGACGCTGGGCGCTAGAACCACAGATAAACAGGACAGCTGGTTGCGTCAGATGAATTCTAAGTAACACTACTGTGGAACACACCCTAAGTTCCATCAGACCCTGGGCGTCAGCTGCTCTGGACGCCTACAGTAAACCCGCCCTTTCTGTGACTACTAACGTTTGTTAAGACCTTTCTAGGGCAGCAGGCTTGGGTCTAAGCACTTTCCACAAGTTAACACAATGTCCTAACAACTCAGTGAGTCAGAGGCCCTCCTTGTCCCCACTGACAGGAGAGGAAACTGAGGCACTGTAAGTGGCAAAGTCAGGCCCTGAGCCCGTTGGTCAACTTCTCAGCTCATTGGTGTGGGCAGCAAGCTTTTTCTGGACATCAAGATTCTTTAAAGCAAGCTGGCCTTGGGATCCCTGGGTGGCGCAGCGGTTTGGCGCCTGCCTTTGGCCCAGGGCGTGATCCTGGAGACCCGGGATGGAATCCCCACATCGGGCTCCCGGTGCATGGAGCCTGCTTCTCCCTCTGCCTGTGTCTCTGCCTCTCTCTCTGTGTGTGTGACTATCATAAATAAATAAATAAAAATTAAAAAATATATATTTTAAAAAAAAAAGCAAGCTGGCCTTGAATGGAATTTTGTAACTGACGGACAAGTGGATCCTGGATCACCCCCCAACCCCGTTATTAAAATACAGATCAGTTAACACGAAACTAAAAACTCGTCACCAGAACTCATTTTATCACCAGTCTGCTCTGCAGGCAGCACAGCACCTCTGTCTCCTCCTCCACCTCCTCATCACAGAGGCGGTGCCAACTGTGTCCATCTGTCTGTCCGTCAGTCCCGTTTCTGGATGAGGAAATCTGTGAGGACCATGACACAGGGCAGGTGCTTGATTTGGACCTAGATCTTTGTGACCCAAGCGTCCCTCACTCTGCTAAATAGCCGTCACCGAGGAGATGGTCCTCGAAGGTGAAAGTCCATCTGTCTGGGAAGGGCGTCACCGAGGCTCTCAGCCCCGTACCAGTATGGGTCACATAAAGTCACCACAAACCCTGCAGGGGACGAGCCCGGTGTGCACATGTGGTTTGGGGCAGGCAGGCCCAAGTACAAAGGGACCGCAGCAGCGGTGCTCGTGTACCCTCGCACATGTTGTAGACCAAAGCCAGCCACACGATGGCTGCCGAGCTGCCCCTGTCCCTCTAAGTGGCTTGCCGCCCAGCTGGCACAACGTGGGGAGCGCTCTCCAGGCCAAGCACAATGCTGACGGTCAACCACACAGAGTGAAGTGCCAACGCTGCTCACAGGAGCTGGGGGCCAGCAGAGCCCAGTGCCTCACCCCTGCCGGGCGCCCGTCCACCTCCTCACTGGCTCCGTCCCCCTGGCAGCCAGAGCACAGCATAAACCTGTCTGTGTCACCCTCCTGCTTAGAACCCTCCAAGCCTCCGAGATGTGGCCCCATCCCACTCCTGATGGTCACTGTTCGAATGTCACCTCCTCCAACAAGCTCTCCCTGAGCCCGTCTAGGACAGGAGCAGTACCCTGCCCCTCGCCCTGCTGGATTTTTCTTGCCAGTACCACCTGATCCTCTAGGAACTCTCTGTCCCCTGGCCGTCTCCTCCCCCACAGCATGAGCCCACAGGGGCACAAGAATGGCAGTGTCCTCCAAGGTCTTTCTGGGCACTGCAGGAGCATCTGGCGCAGAGCAGGTGCTCAGCAAATACAGCTGCAGGAGCAGGTGTTTACAGGCCTCCTAGGGGGCACGTGTTCAGGTAAGGGTGGGTGGGGGAGGCCCCTGTGGCTCCCATCTACAGCATCTTTCTGGATCCAATCAAAGGCAGCATCCTGGACCCACCAGGGCCCCCGGGGCCACTCCTGAGTGCAACACCACCGTCCAAACAGGTCAAAGTCTGCAGCGCTACGGCAAAATTATAACGCCACCTGGAAACCAGACCTCTAACAACCTGAGATGCTTTCATCTCTCCCAGGAAAAATGGAAGCACCCTGTCTGCTATGAAGGAACACTGAGATTTCTCAAGTCAGCCACTTGTGAGGTTTGCGTGTCTCTTTGTACCGTCTGAGACCTTCTTGGTCAAAAATCAGATCATGCGAATGGCTGACTAGCTCTCTGGATCCCTTGGCATTGGGACTTCTTTCTTAGACAATTTACAAGCACAGAACATAATGACTGCACACCGCTGAGATGTAATAAGCCTTCATGTTTTGCCATATGTGCTCCAGAACTGCTTTAATGAAAACTGAATCTTACCCCCATCAGATCCCCTTCCTACCTCCCCTGGGCTTGGCCCTTATTTTTATACTTTTACTACATAGGAAGGGGTTTCCATGTCCGAGTGCCATCTTCCAATGTTACAGTGTGTGTAAAGCCATGTCCGTATTATATATTGTACCCCGCAACCTGCTTCTCCACCCCCAACATCCCCAGGCTGTCCAAAGGTACTGGAATGAGACAAATACTTGTGCTTCCTTCATATTTAACTCTGTTATGGCCCATGCTGCCCTTCACTTGGGCTAAGGAGCCCCTGACCTGGCCCCACATTTTAGAGCTATGCTGCTCAATATGGCAGCACTGGCCACATGTGGCCCCAAGGCACTTACAGTTTGGCTCCAGTGGTTGAGGAATGGAATTCAACGTTTAGTTTCATTTTAATTAATTTAGGTTTCGAGAGCCACCTGTGGCTAGCGGTCATCATGGTGGAAGGCGTATAGAACATTTCCATCATCACTGAAAGTCCCGTGGGGCAGTGCTGCATTAGAACCCACCCCCCCATCACAAATATATACTTGTGTAGAAGCACACAAGCCTCTCTGCCCCCCACCTGCTCCTGTGACCACCCCTCTTCAGGCCCTGGGGAGACCCTTCTCCCCACCTCTTGCTCTAGGACATGAAAGCAAAATGTGGTCTACACACACATAATAGATTATTTAGCTTTAGGAAGGAAGGGACCCCGACACCTGCCCCCACATGGATGGACCCCGAGGACACCAGGCTCAGGGAGCGGACCCAGATCCAGGACACCTCCTGCAGGACCCCACTCCAGGAGGTCTGTCCACAGAGACAGGAGATGGTGGGAGCCAGGGCTGGGGTGGGGGGCGGGAGGTCTGTGTGGGGAGATGGAAGTTCTGGAGACGGTGGTGGGGGTGGGTGCGCAGCAGGGTGAGTGTGTTGATGTTCCTGAGCCATGCACTTAAGAAATGGTTCATTGGTATATTTTATGTCTATTTAACTGCAATAAAAAGAAACCTCACAATCACTACCTGTCACTCCCCATCCCCACCCATATAGTTTGTCTTTACATTAACAGAAAATTTTTAATATTTTTTAAAGATTTTATTTTATGTATTTATTCATAGAGACACAGAGAGAGAGAAGGAGAGAGAGAGCCAGGCAGAGGGAGAAGCAGGCTCCACGCAGGGAGCCTGACATGGGACTCGATCCTGGGTCTCCAGGATCACACCCCTGGCTGCAGGCGGCGCCAAACCACTGCGCCACTGGGGCTGCCCATTTTTTAATATTTTAAGAAAGAACCCTTTAGAAACACATGAAAAATTGTGTTGATTTTCCATGTTTGACATTTACTCAGCATTTTTGATGAGAATATATCTGTTTGACACACTCTGGCTTTAACTGCATCTTATGGTTGGATCTTCTAGCTCAGCCTTTCTCAACTGGGGTCCCAGTGGAAATGAAGGCCTCTTGCCCCCAGGTATCCGTGTAGGTAAGAACTCGCCTCCCCCTGTGGAGCCTGGAATGGCGCTGCTTGTGGCCCGTCCCTCGAGGACTCTGGCTCTCCGACTCTCTGACCATCTCCGGTGTTCTGCAGCTGTGAGGTGGAACTCTGATCATCTAAGGGGCTGTGTTGGTTTGCTCGGGTGCCGTTACAAAGTCCCACCAATGGGGGCAGCCTGGGTGGCTCAGCGGTTTAGTGCCTGCCTTTGGCCCCTGGGGTGTGATCCTGGAGTCTGGGGAACAAGTCCCAGGTCGGGCTCCCTCCATGGAGCCTGCTTCTCCCTCTGCCTCTGTCTCTGCCTCTCTCTCTGTCTTTTATGAATGAGTAAATAAAATCTTTAAAAATAACAAAGTCCCACTGATGGGGTGGCTTGAACAACAGACATTACTGTACAGGCCAGAAGTCCAAGATCAAGGAGTTGGCAGGGCGGGTTCCTTCCAAGGTGTCTCTCTGGGTGTGCAGACACTGTCTTCTCCTGTGTCCTCACAGGGTCATCCCTTTATGTGTGTCTGTGTCCTCATCTCCTCTTACTAAGACACCAGTCAGATTAGATTGGGGCCCACCTTTGTGACTACATTTTAACTTAATCACTAACTTAATGACCTTTTTAAAGACCCCAATCTCCAAATACAGTCACATTCTGAGTGAGGTCTTGGGGGTTAGGATTTCCAACATATAAAATTTAGGAGGGCACAAGTCAGCCCACCCATGACAGCTGCCTCATTATTGTAACAAAACTCAAATAACATGTAAATCTTGGTTATGCAAACATCATTCAGGCTGAAATGAAGGCACCTAAAATAAGTTTTACAGAATATATAATCATTTATGAATTTAGGACATCCAAACAGCACTAGCGGATCAACAGAATGCCCAGACATGCACGACAATAAATAAACTCAATCATCTTTGATGTTTTGCTAAACAGAAAAATCTTAGTCTCTCTTTTTTTTTTTTCTGTTGGAAATAATTATTCGTCAAGGTAGGTAGGATAAAACCTACTGTATTTAAAAAAAACAAAACCTACTGTATTTAAATTTTTGCCAGTTTGGTTTATAATGTTAAAATATTTAGACATATGGTATGCAAGCTCCCATTTGTACTTTCATCCTGGGCCACCCAAATTTAAAGGCTGATTACTTAGTCCTTTGAATAGATCACAATTCATTTGCCTAACCTCCTACTGGTAGACATTTATATCATGTATTAGTTCTATGTACTGCTGAGTCATAAAATTATCCCAATGCCATGGTTTTGAATAATAGTAATCTTCACAGTTTCTGTGGGACAGGAACTCAGGAGTGGCTTGGCTGAGCTCTAGGCGGTCTTTCTGAGGTTGCCAACAAGATGCTGGCTGGGGTGGCATCATCTGAAGGCTTGATGGGGGCGGTGGGCCATGCTTCCCCGATGTACCCTCACATAGTGAGCCGTCTGCTGCTGGCCGTTTGCGAGGAGGCTTGGGTCCTTTTGCGTGGGCTCTTCCCAGCACAGCTGGAGCATTCTTACAACATAGCTCCTGGCTTCCCCCAGAGAGAATCGAGAGAGTCTGGGGGGTGGGAAGGCCCAGGCGGAAGCTGGCCTTGTAATGACCCAGCCTCTGACCCCGGTCACATGGCAGTGTTGCCACATTCCATTAGTTAGAAGTGAGACGCTAAATCAAACCCACACTCCAGGGCAGATGATCATGCCCCAACTTTTGAAGAAAGGAGCATAAAAGAGCTCCTGGGCATCTCTTTAAACCACCAAACATTAATTCCAATTTCCTGCAGGTAAAGCAATGCTACAAGGTATCCTCACGTACATTCTTCATATGCTTTCTTGCACTGACTCCCTCTCGTGACTTCCTGTCCAGGCTGGGTCCCACACCGCACACCACAAACCAAGCACAGGCTACAGGATGGGGCCAGGGTGGCTACCTCAGACCCACCCGTGTCTTCACGTAACTTCAGTGACTTCATTAAAGGCATCACATTGGGGGTTAGGGTTTCATATGAAGGAGGTGGGGAGACGGGGACACAATTCAGCCTACAGCATCACCTTACCATCCTCAAACAGGACAAATCTTGCGCTATCTTGGTGACTTCCCATTGATTACTGCATAAAAGCAGCTTCTGCCTCGTATCTGAGAGCCCCAAGCCCCCCGTCTAGCCTCCTGCCACATCCTCTGTCCCTCGGCACACAGCAGTTTCCCTGTCAGCTCCTGTACGTTGCTTCCATTTCAGTGTCCATTCCAGGCCCTTCCCTCAGGCCAGTGGGTCACGTCCAAGGCCCACCCATCAAAATCCCAGTCAGCCTTTATTGTAAGGCCTCTTCCGGCCTTGGGAGGTAGAGGAGGGCTCCTGCTAACTGAAGGGCTGCTGGCCCATCCATTCTTCCTCCTTCGGGGCTTTACCAACACGATGGGGTTTTGCAGAGCAATCTAGGGTAGTAAATGTGTGGTGACAATGACCAAAGTGGTGGCTGTGGGCCAAAAAAGGGAACACCAGACCCACCTTATCCTAAGTAACTGCTCACGACACCACGAAGGCACCTGTGAGTGTTTATGGTCTGGGAGGGTAGAGTGCTGCCTCACTTTTATTTAGCGAGCTCTAGAAGGATGTGGAGCATGGACTCCCCTCAAACTCGGAGAGGGCATGTGCTGTGCATCTCATACCCACTCTCAGAGACCTGGCCCAACGGGGCCCAACAGGAGAGATGAAGTGAGAAACGGGAAGGTTTTCAGCAGGGTTTGGCAAGGGACAGCCACATCTGTCCACTGCCTGCTTTTGTATGGCCCGCAGCAAACTATGGTTTTCCCACTTTTAAATGACTAAAGAAGGACCCTTGGGTGGCTCAGTGACTGAGCATCTGCCTTTGGCTCATGTTGTGATCCCGGCCAGGGTCCTGGGATTGAGCCCTGCATCAGGGTCCCCATACGGAGCCTGTTTCTCCTTCTGCCTATGTCTTTGCCTCTCTGTTTGTCATGAATGAATGAATGAATCAATCAATAAATGAGTGGAGAAAGTTAAAGGAGTAATATTTCGTGACATGTGAAAATTATGTGACGTTCACACTTCAGAGTCACACTAAAGCTTCGATGACACATAGCCATGCCCATTTGTTTGTGTACCGTCTACGGCTGCCCTTGCCCTAGAATGGTGGAGCTCAGGGGCTGCTGGCACTGGGTCAGTCACCAGGGATGCTGCTCCACTCCCCACAGCACTTACCACCAGAGTGACCTGCCTCAATGTCAAAAGTGCTGCTGAGAAACTCAGACCTGCCAAAATGTGTGAGGATACTGCAAGCTTGGGGACTGCAAATTGAGCCTAACGTTTGGGGAGAAAGGCAGCCAAGGGGGCAGTAGAGGCACTTTCTTTCGCTCAGGCTCCCTGCACACATCCAGAGGTAGAGCACCCCACCTCTGCTCAGGCTCCCCTTCATGGGAGGTCATTGGTCACCTTGCCTTCTCTCAATTTCCAAGTTTTCTGGGTTAAGAATCAGCCAGAAGCTGAGACTTCCTTCCCTCCAAGTCCTTGGAAATGGCAGTTTTGCCTGCAGTCACCTGGGCTTCACAGGCCCCAGATTAAGAATCCCTACTGGAACAGTGATAGGGATAGGGGAAGTAAAAACAGTTGTTGAAGCTAAATGGCAAATTTTACGTGGCCCTGTGTGACATGGCCTGTCCCCTTCTCTTGGGAAATGTGAAGTCTTGCAGTGGCACGGACCTCTTCGTGTCCTTACTCAGGCACCTTCTGGGGATTAAAATCCCACAGGCACACGTGAGACATTCCCTTCAAGAAAGTTGGTAGAGAAGAGAGGCTGAGGATAAGAAAGTTCTGTCTAAGGACTGAGCTGAAGTCACAGAGGCTTCAGGATTAGGAACTGGAAAGAGAGCCCCAGCCCAGAGGGATGGCTTCCAGTCCTGCGCTGCAGCCTGGGGCCTTGAGCAAGTTACTCTTTCCTACGCTTGGTTTACTCGCCTGTAGAACGGGAACATCCACCTCTTGAGATGGCAGGACAACTCAACAGGAACTCAAGTGCTACAACACCTGGCACAGGCAGAAGCTTACGATGCAGTCCAGAGGTGCCAGATCTTGCGATTTTAAGCAGGTCCAGGGATGCAGATCTTCCGATTAAAATCAGGGTTTTTGCAAAGTCTCCCAATGTTTATTTTTTTAAAGTGTTAAGTAACCTTGACCCCCAACATGGGGCTCAAACTCACAACCCCCAAATCATCAGTCACATGCTCCTCCAACTGACCCAGCCAGGCCCCCAAAGTCTCCCAATTTTTAAATGCTGGTAACCAATTCAAATAAAGCAAGCGACAAGCCTACTCCACACAGGCTGAAGAGGGCAGCTGTAAGAATCAACAACCATGCTGCGCAGGCTGCCAATTTTCAACTCCTGATGCATAAAGAACAATAAAAAGCTACAAATTTGCTCTTGGTGAAGCCGCCCCTTAAGCCAGCAGCCTAAGCTGTGAGGCTATTGTTGGAAGTCACCGGTTGTTTAAGGAGAGGGTGTGCCACTGTACTACAAGGCTGAGGGCCGCTGTCTTCACAATGAGGATCCCATGACAACAAGGACCCAGCTGGGGCCGTCTGCCCAGGAGGGAGAAAAGCTGAGGCCAGAAGCTGGGGGCAAAGCGCTGGGCACCTGTTAGCACAGGAAACGCAGTATTTAAGCACATCTATGTGCTTAAATATGTGGATTTCCAAGTCCTACCTGGCATCCTCATCTTTGGATCAAGGCAAGTATCTTCTAATGGCTTTTGGGTCTAAATGTTTGCTTCAGCAAGTCAGGGTTTTTTTTGAGAACACCATCTAGATAAAATTTTAGAATGCAAGGTTGGCAAGACCCGTGGCTATCATTTTGCTCAGTCACCTAATTGATGGGGACATGGAGGGCTGGAGATGGAAAGGACTCGTCTGAGAAGGTCAGGTTCCTTCTCCCATGGGAGATGCTCCTGCTTGCTCCTGAAAGGCCAAACATAAAAGAACACAAGGAACCCTGAATGTAGACCTCACTTCAGAAAGGTGGGTCTGAGGAACCTACAGCAGGTAATGAAATATTCTGGGTTTGCTGGAGCAGTGATGGCTTCTATATATAACTTTCAACAGGTCATGCTCAGTGGGAACACACACACAAAACTAGAAACATTTAGAATCTGAAAAAAAAAAATCAAGTGGAAAAAAGATTTTCCTGGGCAGCTCCAGTGGCTCAGCAGTTTAGCGCCACCTTCAGTACGGGGTGTGACCCTGGAGACTGGGGATCGAGTCCCACATCCAGCTCCCTGCATGGAGCCTGCTTCTCCCTCTAACTCTCTCTGTTTCTCATTAATAAATAAAATCTTAAAAAAAAAAAAAAAGATTTTCCTGCAATCACAGTGCTGAGAAACTTCAGTCAGTATTTTCTTTTTATACCTTGGACCCTTCTTTCCAGAACACAGCTCTTCACCTATTCATTTACTTCCTCCTCCTCCTCTTCCTACCACTGCCCCACATGGCATAAACTAAGCCCGACTGAGATTATACCCAAGTACCCAGCAGCTGGAAATCTCACTGAATTGCTAGAGAGAGAAAATGGCTCCAGCACCCTGACCTTGGCATAGTTTTCCAGGCAGGTCTGTGACAACTCAAAGGCTGAGGAACAGAGTTTAGATGGCTCACGGTGAACCACAATACCCACTGCTAATATGGTCACTAAACACATTCATCAGAAAGGACATTTCCAAATCTGTTTTATTGTAAGACCATATTATTTTATGTGTACATGCACATAAAAAACACCCGGGGATCATCTCATTTGGCACTTTGGTTTACAAGGTTTTTATATTCAAAATATACATTATACACATTCACATTCATAACAATTCTGATTTTTAAAAATATTTTATTTTTCTAAAGTTTATTTAAGTAACCTCTACACTCAACATGGGGCTTGGACTCATGACCCTGAGATCAAGATTCACATGCTCTTCCCAATGAGCTAGCCAGTGCTCTACAATTCTGATTTTTTAGTAGATTTTTTTTTTTAATTATGAAAGCCTTATATAGCTCCTCCAAGTGAAATCCCATTTCAGATCCAGATACCCCAGAAAACATCCCAACATACTAGAAAGGGACTTGATAAACTAAATCCTCGGGCTTCTGAGAAGATGACAGAACTTCATTCCTCACCCCCAACTGCAACCTTCTTGAAACTGCAGTGAGGAGTCTCCAGCTCTGACTCAGGGCCAGCCTGGCTCCTGAAGAGAGAGCCACTGGGCTGCTCCACATTCCTGAGGCAGGGACTCTCAAGGCTGGCGACAGGCGTTTCCCGAGCCTCCAGGGTGAACCAGATTCTGTGCTTGGCAGTGCATCTCTTCCATCCTTCTGCAAAGGAACGTGGTGCCCACATGGAGGGTGGCCCCAAGGTTAGTCCGCCAGGCAGGTGCTCACAAATGCTGTCTTGATGAGATCATGCTGAGTAAGCCAAAGAGAAAGCATTCTTTATGTGCCCTCCTAGAAGTGCAAGCGAAAGAATTTCCAACTGGGGTCACAATGGCCTCGCTAGTCTATTGCTGTAAATCCAACTGGTGACAGGCCAATGTCTGGGGGCTGGCGAGGGGTCCCGTGTGGTTCCAGCCCTCTTCTGCTGCTTTCAGGGGTGGAGAAACCTCCACAGCCACATCTACACTAGTCTAACACACGCACCTCTTATGTCGACAGAGTGAAAGGCAGGACTAGACAGCCAATGTGAGGTTCTCGTGACGTTCTCATGTGCAAGTACAACAGATGTCCAACTACCAACCCTGGATTCAAGCAATGACATTCAAATGAAAAAGAAGCCACTGGTGGAGTACCTGGGTGGCAGAGTCGGTTACAAGTCCCACTCTTGGTTTCAGCTCAGGTCATGAACTCCCAAGCCCTGAGACTCAGCCCCCAAGTTTCGTTCCTGCTCAGCAGGGAGTCTGCTTGTGATTCTCTCTCCCTCTCCTCCTCTGTCCCTCCTCCCACTCTCAAATAAATAAATCTTTAAAGAGAGAGAGGGAGAGAAAGCTTCTCAACGTTTATTAAAATAGAGCTTCTCCTGATGGGAAATCAAGTATTACCCCCAAATCCAGCAGGTGTTTTATTTAGATTGAACAAGAATGTGAAGGTGAGGTAGCCAGGTCTACTATAGAGGTGGAATTTTCACAAAACTGCTACACAAAGAGGGAAGGAAATGTAACGAGAGAGGGCCAGCCTGTCCTGTTCCACCAGTATGGACTTCCAGAGCTCAGTTCCCAGTTCTAGATGTTTCCATTACCAAAGTGATTTAAACACACACAGAACCCTGCTGGAGTTCCTGAGCTGCTCTCACTGAAAACCACACTTGGGACTAATGAAAAGCACCATCAAGGGGATCCCTGGGTGGCTCAGCGGTTTAGCGCCTGCCTCTGACCCAGGGCATGATCCTGGAGTCCCGGGATTGAGTCCCGCATCAGGCTCCCTCCATGGAGCCTGCCTCTCCCTCTGCCTATGTCTCTGCCTCTCTCTCTCTCTCTCTCTCTCTCTCTCTCTCTCTCTCCTCTCTTTCTGTGTCTCTCATGAATAAATAAAATCTTTTTTTAAAAAAATGAAAGAAAAGAAAAGCACCGTCAAATTCAATTTTCCACATGGGATTAATCCTTCACTCTGAAGACCTGCAGCACTAACTCTATAAAGCCTTAGAAAATTTAAAAGACCATATAACATACAATAAATGAAACTCATCATTACCAACAATCTTAAACTTTTCTCACACCTTCAAGAGTGAATGTGCATTCAACTCCTATTGACCAACAACTCAAAAAGTTCAGATCCCAACCCTAATAATGGACAACAGTGTAAGGAATATTCCTATCTGGGGCTATGGTCATCAAGCTTAAAAGCCAAGAAAACCTACTCAAAATTCCTCCAAGAAAAAAACTGTTGTCTTTACTTTGGCAGTTTGTGAAACAGGCTTTGAAATACTATTGTCCAAATGCTACCATGAAGTGGATGTGCAATGTCAAAATCCGTTAACTAGTCTCCTCATAGCACACTACATTACAAATATGTACTCTAACAGCAGAAGGTTCCAAGCAAGTCACTTCCCCCAGAAGAAAATGTCTAGTTAAAGTCATTCAGATAATGCAGATGGTATCTTTCAAACGTTTTGTTGAGACTGCAGTTTATTTTACCATGGTACCCATTTCAGTTTCACTTAAATTTACTTCTTTTTTAAGATTTTATTTTTTTAAGTCATCTTTACACCTAACGTGGGCCTCAAACTCATGACCCTGAGATCAAGAGTCCCACACCCTGAGCCAGCTGGGCACCCCTACTCTTTTTCCTTTTTATTCTTTTAAGATTTTATTTATTTACTCATGAGAGACACACAGAGAGAGGCAGAGACACAGGCAGAGGGAGAAGCAGGCTCCACGCAGGGAGCCCGACGTGGGATTCCATCCCGGGTCTCCGGGATCGCGCCCTCGGCCAAAGGCAGGCGCCAAACCGCTGCGCCACCCAGGGATCCCCTGGACCCTGATATTCTGACCTAAGCTGACACCGAGAGTCGCACACTTAACTGAGCCAGCAGGCCCCTCCCCCAGAAGGTGACCTTAACAGGCAGCGTTAGCATTCGCGCGGCTTCCCACGTACGACTGAAGAATGCGCTGGAGAAAGAAAAAAAAAAAAAAAAAGAAAGAAAGAGAAAAGGAAGAAGTGCTTGAGGCGGGCGGAGGGTGAAGCGCACGCCGGCTGGGGAGTCCGGGGAGCCGGCGGTAGCAGCGCTGAGGGTGGGGGGGAACAGGATGAAGCAAGAACAGGGTGCGGCAGAGGCAGAGACCGCGGACGCCGCCCGAAGCCCCCACCTCAGAAGCCGCTCCAAGTGCGGAAACCAAGCGCAGCAGCCCCCCCCTTCCAGCACCCTCACTTCCCAGCAAGCCCTGGTCGGTGTCCCTGGGATCCCAGAGGCAAGAGGCGGCAGGGTCGCCCGAGGCGGCGCGCGGTCGGCCCAGCTTTCCACTCCTGTCCTCGACCCGCTGAGACCCGGGCGAGCGGCCCAGGCCCCCGGGGCAGCGGGCCCCCGCGTCTCAGGGGCGCAAACGGCGTCCTTGCGGGAAGGCGTCTCCCAGAATCCCAATGCTGCAATCTTACCGAGGGTGGGCCAGGCCACAGCAGGAGGCGGACCCCCCGCGGGGGCCGACGCCGACCCCGCCGACCCCGCCGACCCCGCCGACCCCGCCGCGCGGCCAGGGTCCTGCCCGGGAGGCTGAGGAGGCTGAGGAGGCTGAGGAGGCTGAGGAGGGCGGCCCCGAGGAGGCGGGGCGCGGCGTACCGCCCGGTCCGGCACACCCCGCGTGCCCCGACCCGTCCGCCCCTCCCCCGACGCCCCTCAGAGGCGGACGCACCCGGCACCGCCCCGGCTCCGTCTTCCCGCCTCCTCAGGGCCGTCCCCGCCCCCGCGGCCACCGCGACCCTCCGGGGCGTCCGTCCCTCCGCCACCCCGGCCCCGCCCCGAGGGCTGCTGCCCTGCCCGCCTCAGGGCTCCCGGCTGCGCGGCCATCTTAGCTGGCGCAGGCCTCCCAGCGCGCCTCTCGCCTCGTTCCAGCCGACACGCCGGGCCGCGGGTCGCGCCCCCGTCGGGCCGGCGGCGCGGGCGGCGCGGGCGGCGCGGGCGGCGCGGGGGTTACCTGGACTGTGGGCCGGCGCCCCACGCGAAGCCGGAGCAGCGACCCGCCGCCATCTTGGCGCCTCCCCAGAGCGCGAGCCCCGCCGAGGCGCGAAGGGGCGGAGCCGCCGGCGGTGACGTCCCCGGGCCCCGCCCCCCGCGCCGCGTGCCGCTCGCGCCCCGCCACGCGCCCCAGGCCCCGCCCCCCTGCGCGAGGCTCCGGCCCTCTCGCCTCGCTGCACGTCTGTGGTTGGTCGCTGCGTCAAGCCACGCCCCTCATCAAGCCACGCCCCCTCCCGGGCCCCGCCTTCCCTTTACCCAATAGGCTTTGTGGCCCAGCACCTGAGCCTGCAGGTGCTCGTTACCTGGTGTCCCGCTAGGGTGGGGTTGGGAGTTCCGCTGACCGCCCTGGCTGGGTACAGGTGGCCCTGTCCGTACGGCCACGTCCTGCTTGGCCCTTCCGCAGTCCCTGGTGGGCGGCCTTCCGTGGGGCCTTCTTTTTTTTTTTTCTTTTAAAGATTGTACTTATTTATTCATGATAGGCACAGAGAGAGGCAGAAAGAGGCAGGCTCCATGCAAGGAACCTGATGCGCGACTCGATCCCATGACCCTGGAATCACGCCCTGAGCCAGGGCAGATGCCCAACCACTGAGCTACCCAGGCGCCCCTTCCGTGGGGCCTTTTTTTTTTTTTTTTGCTATAAAAATTTCCATATACTTTAAAAAAATTTTTTTAATTGGAGTTCAATTTGCCAACTTATAGCATAACATCCAGTGCTCATCCCACCAAGTTCCGTGGGGCCTTTTAAGAGTCCGCTCAGGGATCCCTGGGTGGCGCAGAGGTTTGGCGCCTGTCTTTCGCCCAGGGCGCGATCCTGGAGACCCGGGATCGAATCCCACGTCGGGCTCCCGGTGCATGGAGCCTGCTTCTCCCTCTGCCTGTGTCTCTGCCTCTCTTTCTCTCTCTCTCTCTGTGACTATCATAAGTAAATAAAAAAAAAAAATAAGAGTCCGCTCAGCACCTAAGATTTGGTGACCCCTAAACTAGTGGTTCTCAACTGGAGTGATTTGTCTCAGGGGACACTGGGCGGTGTCTAGGGACATCTGTGGATGTCATACTGGGGTGCTCCTGGCATGGAGCGGGTGGGGAACCAGGAATGCTGCTCAGCCCTCCACAGAGCCCAAGACAGCCCTGCAGAAAAAGACCCCGCTCCAACGTCAGCAGTGCCCAAGTCGAGAAACCCTACTCCAGGTATAAGTCGTTTTGAAAGATTTTTTTTTTAAGATTTTGTTTATTTATTCATGAGAGACACAGAGAGAGGCAGAGACACAGTAGAAGGAGAAGCAGGCTCCCTGTCAGAAGCTTGATGCAGGACTCGATCCCAGGACCCTGGGGTCATGACCTGAGCCAAAGGCAGACCTCAACCACTGAGCCATCCAGGTGCCCCTTGAGAGATACATCTTGACCCACCTACTACAAGCCCAGCCACGTGGAGGGATGCGGCATTGAGCAAAACCGCATGGTGCCAGTCCTCCTAGAGCTGGGGAGGCAGATCATAACCAAACTATTCATTACAATCGTTTACAACTATTCATTACAATGCCTTTTTGGTTAATAGCAGCTTTACCAAGATAGAATTCACATGCCAGACAATTCATCCATTTAAAGTGTGCAGTTCAGTGGTTTTCAGCACATTGACAGAGGTGAACAACCATCACCACTGTGAGATTCCAGAACATTTTCATCACCCCGAGTAGAAGCTGTCTCAATTAGCAATCACCTCTCAGTGTCTCAGCCCCTGGCTGCCACTAGCTTGCTTTTTTGTTCCCGTTCTGCACATTTCAAATAAATAGAACACTTCTTAGCAACAAAACGGAATATATTCTTTTTTTAAGATTTTATTTTTAAAAAGGAATAAATTCTTGATACACGCAACATCTTGGATGAAGCTCTAGAGAATTACGCTGAGTGGAAAAAGCCAATGGAAAAAGGTTACATGCTCTACATACTCTTATGATTCCATTTACATAAAATTCTTGAAACGTCAAAATCACAAAAAATGGAGAACATATTTTTGACTTCTAGGGGTTAAGGACATGGGGAAGAGGGTATGGGGAGTGGAAGCGTTATAAAAAGACAACATGAGGTATCCCCGGGTGAGGAAATCTTCTGTATCTCAACTGTATGGGAAGCGATGATGATACGGCACTATAACTCTGTGAGATTTTACCACTGGGTGAATGGGGGGAAAGGGTACACGGGGTCTCTGTTATTTCTTACTGCATATGAATCCACAATTACTTGAGATTTTAAAAAAAGTAATTTTTAAAAAGTGCATTTACTGACTGTGGAGGGCTGCTGTTCCTCTCCTCCTTTATATGAAGCAGGCGCAGGGCTAGTTAGTTCTTGGACAGAAACCATGGCAAGCCCAGGGTGCCAAGGAAAGCCGTATGGGTGATTTAGTGGATGGCATTCTTCCACTTGTGTCTTCATGACCATGTGTGGCCACCGGGAACAATCTAGTGGGGCTGGCAAATGCAGCTCTCCCACCATGCCCTGGCTAAAGTTCAGAGTGATAATTATACAGGGCCTCCCTCCAATTCCCTGCAGCTCTAACTAGGTAATGAAGGCTGCGTGCTTTACACAAAAGCAGGTCTGTTTTAATGTTTTCTCTGGATTACACAATATCTTTTTCCCTCCTGTTATTTACTACAAACATTGTGCTAAACGTTTTGCATGCACGATCTTATCTGGTCCTTACAATAGTCTCAGAAATAGAAACAGTTGATTCTCATTATTGGCAGCAGCTCTGTTCTATAAAGTTGCAGCAGACTCTGGAAGGGCGAAGGCTGAAGCACGGCTCCTGGGGGAAAAGAAACCCTGGGGTAGGTTCCTGCAAGCCTCTGGTCACAATATTTTCATCAACTCCTCTATACATAATCTTGTGTTCTGTATGCTTCTGTCTAAGGATACCTTATTGGATATACATTGTTGATTCATTAACAGCCAACAGGACTGTAATTCATGCCTGAATGAAGCTTATCTAACACATATATTTTCTCTGTGAGCTGCACCCCAGCCTTCTTGTGCTCAGAAACACCAGACAGCACTTTGGCACCATGCACGGGGACACCGTAAGCAGCAAAACCAGCAATATAAAGTGCAGAAACGCAAAATTTATGGTAGTAAATGGATCCTGAAAGGGGCCCCGTTTCAGGATCCATTTACAACCTGGGCTGGAATAAGGAGGCAAAATGGTGCCTCATTCAAACCCAGCTGGGAACTTGTGCGGCCAACACTTAAAGTTTTCACCACTCTGCATTGTCTGCAAATGACCCCGAAAGCATCATGAGTATTGATTTGGGGGTTACAAATGTTACAGATGAATTTCAGCCAGTAGGCCAATTTACAAATACAGAAACAACTAATAATGAGGCTCGAATGTCCTTGTGTCAATTCCCTTTGCAAATCAGGAAAATGACAGCCAAGAAGCTTTAGCAATTTCATTGCCTCAACCCGATTTAATGAGAACTGACTATGTTTCAGGCGGTCTTCCAGGGCAGGGCTTCTCAACCCACGCTGTCGATATTTGGGGCCAGATAATTTTCTGCTGTGGGGGGCCATCAGGTACATTGTAGGGTGTTGAGCGGCACCTTTGGTCTGTACCCACTCAATGCCAGTATCGTCTCCATCCCCCAAGTCGTGATAACCGAAAAAGTCCCCAGACATTGCCCAATGTCCTGTGAGGGGCAGGACCCCCGCCCCACCGTGAAAACCCTGGTCTAGGGATTTGAGACGCAGCAATGACAAAGTGCAACAGCTCTGGTCTCAAGAAGCTGGCATTATGGGCGAATGGTGAATGGGGGTGGGGCGGTAGTGTCTAAGGGGGACAGAGTTTCCGTTTGGGAAGGTGAAAAAGTTCTGGAGGTGGCTGGGGGGGATGGTGGCACATTGTGAATGTAATTGATACCACTGAATTTTACACTTAAAAATATCAGAAAGGCAAGTTTTATGTTATGTATGTATATATATTTTAACCACAAGTAAAAATAAACCAGACAAGAGCCAAGCTTGGTGCTTGCAGCGGCTCCTTGGCAGTGGCCACAGCACCATGGACAGCTCCCCGTGCTCTCTCATCCGGGAGGGAGCGCGGCTCCCTAAATGTCCCTCTGTCCAGAATGCCTTACTGTGTTTCTTCATCCATCCCACTCCCACCCACTCCTCAGGGCCCCCAACCCACATCGTCGCTACCCACCCTCCACCCCGGGAAGTCTTCTCATGCACCCTCCCCCACGCCACTCTGCTCCAAAGATGTCTAAATCAGCCCAGACTCCTTTGCCCATCTGTTTCTCCAAATGGGAGTTCTGCAAAAGCAAAGTCTTTTTTATTCACACACTGGACCCCAGTGCCCGGCACAAAGGCTGGCCTGGATTTCCAATTAACACAAGTGTCTCTTCCCAGAGCTCCACTTCCTCCAGCCAGGAGGCTCTGGGCTCTCCTCCCGTGCTGTGGGGCAATGCCCTTCTGCCTTGGGCTTGGAGGGCACAGACCCTGATGCAGTGAGTGAGGTAGCCACGTGAGCAGAGTGTTGTCTGGTATCCGTGAGGAGGGCTGGCATCCCCACATTCCACCTGCATCTCCCAGAAGTCTCCTCTGCGCTGGGTGCTGCTGCCCTCTGCAGAGAACACGGCGGTGTACAAGACTAACCAAGCCTCTTTTATCTTGAATTTTATATTCTAGCTAGGGGGTCAGGGAATTAGCAAAGACATAAGTAAATAATTTCAATTAGCGGTGAGTGCTGTGGGCGAAAATCAGGCTCCTCAGTAAGTGAAACAGAGACTTACTGGGGGCAATTCCACTCCCAGACATGTACCCAAAGGACATGAAAACAGACTCAGATAAGTCTATGCACATCCGTGTTCACAGCTGCACTACTCACAACAGCCAAAAAGTAGAAACAGCCCCAATGAGTGTATAAACAAAATGTGGCACATGCATACAATAGAATATACTATTCAGCCATCAAAAGGAATAGAGTGCTGGCACTTGCTGCATTGTGGATGATCCATGAAAAATTATGCTCAACCAAAGAGACCAGACACACAAAAAAATAACATCGTGTATGATTCCATTTATATGAAATGTCCAGAACAGGCAAATCCACAGAGATAGAAATAGGATTAGTGGTTGTCGGGGTTTGGGGCTAGATGATGGGGAGTTAGTTTAATGGGGACAGAGTTTCAGCTTGGGAAGATGGAAAAAGTCCTGGAAATAGATAGTGGGGATGGTTGCACGGCCATGTGAGTGTGCTTAATATCACTCAATGTACGCTTTCCAATGGTTATAATAGTAAATTTTATGTTATGAGTATTTTACCACGATTTAAAAATGTATATACTAAAAAAAAAATCAGACTGGGCAATGGAATGGGTGATGGAGCAGGGGTGGGGGGCAAGGTAGGAGGGGTTAGGGAAGGCCTCTCTAAGAGATTACTTCTGAGCTGACACCTAAATAATGAACATCTGCTGGAAGAGTGTTATGGCAGTGGGAGCAGCATGTTCAAAGGCCCTTGGTGTGTTCACAGAACAGGTGAAAAACCAGCACAGTCACAGAGCAATAGGCATCGGTCCAATCGGGGCCATGTGTTAGTTCCCTGGTGTAACAAAGTACCACAAACCAGGTGGCTCAAAACGATAGATTTCTATTCTCTCATAGTTCTGGAGGCCAGAAGTCAAAAATCAAGGTATTGACAGGGTTAGCTCCTTCTGGAGGCTGTGAGGGAGAATCCATTCTAGCTCTGGTGGTTTTTGGAGATCCTTGGTACCCCTTGTTTGCAGATACAGAGACATTTGTCATTGGATTTGGGATTCACCATAAATCCAGGTGATCTCATCTGGAGATGAGTGTTCCGGACTCCTAATTCCATCTGCAAAGACCTTTCTCCCAAATAAGGTCATATTCACAAGTTCCAGAGGTTGGGATGTGGCCATATCTAGGCAGCTCGGGTAGCTCACCAGTTTAGCACCGCCTTCAGCCCAGGGCCTGATCCTGGAGACCCGGGATGGAGTCCCGCATCGGGCTCCATGCATGGAGCCTGCTTCTCCCTCTGCCTGTGTCTCTGCCTCTCTCTCTCTCTCTCTCTCTCTCTCTCTCTGTGACTATCATAAATAAAAAATTAAAAAATTAAAAAAAAAGGACATGGCCATATCTTGTGGGGGCCACCATTCAGCCTGCTACAGGTCTAAAAATAGACACAACAATGGCAAGAAACGCCTATAGCAGCTTTCCAGGGCTCCGTGCTAAGTGTATCTCATGAAACGCCCCAACGCCAGTACCATGGTGTTTGCATTTCACAGATGGGGAAACTGAGGCCTAGCAGGTAAGATCACTTACCCCGTGGTGTATCCCAGCTAGTTAGTTAGCCACCCAGCCAGGCTTGAACCGCCTCCTGGTCTGATTTCAGAGGCTGCACGCTTCATGTCCTCCTGAAGTCCTCCGGGGCAGGGCCGCTGCAGCGCACACCTGCAGGGGGCGCCTTTCCCTGGTTCCGCCCCCCCCCCCCCCAGCAGGTGTGTCTCCGCAGACTCAGCCTCCCCAGGACCCAGCCGGGTCCTCAGCACACACGGCTCGGTCCACCGTGAGGGGCCCCGGCTGACGGGCCTAGGGAATGGAGTCCTAAGCATCTTCCCCTCCTCCCTCCCTCCTAATCTCAGGAATGAGGCCATCGCTGTCATTTATTTATTTGTTTGTTTGTTTGTTCCTGGTCCTGTTTTTAAATCTGTGATGCGCCATCAGGAAATCATTTCCGCTTCTGCCACCGGTGAGGCTCAGAGATATTCCCCTTCCAGCCAATGGAGAGCACCGGATTCTGGCTGGGGGCTGTGCTTTTTGGTCAGCCCTGCCCCCACCCACCCACCCTGCACACAAAAGCAGCATAATTAACTGTCTTAAGGCAGCCGAGCCTCCGCCAGCTGCGAGCTGGCGAGAAGCAAACACTCGGGAGGCACGGGCGCGAGGGTGGCAGGGGCAGGCGACCACCGACTGCGTCCGCCCCCCGCCCCTGGACAAGAGCAGCCCCTCTGCGCCGCCTCGCTGCTCCGGGTGACCTTCCCTGGGTGCAGAGTCCGCCCCAGCGCCCGCCGCCCTCCGATGCTCTGAAGGCCCCGGGGCTGCGCTCGGAAGGCCGGGGATGTCCGGCTGCATCGGCGCGGGGCTCGCCTTTGTTTGCGCGTAACTGGCAGAGGCCGCCGAGGTGAGTCCACCTTGCTTTCCCCCGGCCCGCCGGCCCGGCCAGGTGTGGCCAGGTTTGGCCAGGTTTGGCCGGGGCCAGCCGCTGCCGCAAAGCCCCTTCGGCAGGTGGGGCGGGTGGGAGCAGGGAGCCGCGGTCTTGTGATGCTCCCGGATGACAACCCAGCCACGTCTCCGATGATGCCGAGCGAAGCCATCGCAGCACACACACCCACGGCGCACCTTCCGTGCCCACCGTTGGAAGGCAGGCGATTGCACCATTTTTCAGGACGTGCTTAGAGATTAGGCTGATAAAACCCTCAGCCTCTCTCTGGGACGCTTCCTAAGAGACCGAAATGGACACGTCCCATCTCTGTGATTTTCCTATTTATAACACCGTGAGCGGATCTGGAAAAAAAGAAAAAAAAAGAAGACTTGCTAGATGTGTACCTAGAGGTTTGCCGATGGGGTGGGGAGGAAGGGAGAAGGTTGGAGACTTGTAGCTCCTCTGTGTGAATTGGGGTAATTCAGTACCCCAGCTCGGAGGCACACTTCCCAGCTGCCCCCCACCTAGCCTCATTTTCCAATCCTCGAACGCAAAGTCGGGATCTTAGAACAGGAGTGCACAGGGCCCAGCAGGGACCCACCCACACCCCACGTTTACACGATCGTGGGGCCAGCTGTGTGGCTGCAGAGTCTCAGTGGTGGGTGGGATGGAGGGGAGCATGCTTCCTGGGGGCTGAGGTCACCCCCAGCTCAGGATAAGGAAAACCAATCCTTATTGGTGCAGAGACCAATCTCCTCGGAAAAAAAATTAATTTCCATTGACCTGAACTTTCCCTTGCAGTATGGTTCTGGGAGGTGGCTGTTGCCGGAGGCATCAGGGAGAGATTTTTTTTTTTTTTTTTTTTTTTTTTTTTTTTGCGTACTGCGTCGAACTGTCCCTCCTCCATGAATGAATGACGACATTTGAACAGTGACAAGAATCCAGTGGGAAACTCTCACCCAAATGTGGGGGGAGGGGTGGCTAATTTTAGCCACCCCTCCCCCTGCCTGGCCTTCACCCGGCCTAGGCTCCCTCTGGGTCTTTCCTGACCCACAACCTCAAATGCAGACACCCCCCCCCCCACAGGGGCTGCTGTCCTGGGCAGGGCTTCAGATGACACGCCCAAACTGTTAGCCACGTGTCAGCTCTACAGAGGGACAGCCTCGGCATCTGGAAGGGTGAGGGCCGGCGGGGGGGGGGCAGGGGAGCCCTGGTGCGGGGCTGTGAGAATAACAACCCAGGAGCTTCCTGGAGGATGGGATGCAGGGACATAGCGAGCCCTCTACAATGACTGTCATACCCTGCCCGAGGTCCTTCCACAGTGTGCCATTAGGACAGGGCTTCTCCATCTCGGATCTGTGGACGTTTGGGGCTGGACCACTCGTGGTCCTGGAGGCCACCCTGATCACTGTGAGGTGCTGAGCAGCATCTCTGGCCTCCGCCCACTCGATGCCAGGAGTTCTCTCTCCAAGTTGTGACAACCAAAAATGCCTCTAAACATTGCCAAGTGTCCCCTGGGTGGGTGGGGAGAGGGCAAACTTATCCCCTGTGGTAAACCACTGGTTTAAAAGCACAGTCCCCTTTAGCCCTGGGGTCAGTAGGTTGTCAGGACTTGCTTCTTTGTTGGGGAATAAAGGGGCAGGGCAGGCAGCCTAGAGAAAAGTAAAGGTGGGTTGGGGTCGACCAGGTCCTATTTGAAAGTGTCGTTCCCAGCAAGGAAGCTTAAGTATATCAATCACTAACATCTTAGTATAAATGATTTTAATTAGGGACGCCTGGGTGGCTCAGCAGATGAGTGTCTGCCTTTGACTCAGGGCGTGATCCTGGGGTCCAGGATCAAGTCCCACATCAGGGTCCCCACAAGGAGCCTGCTTCTTCCTCTGCCTGTGTCTTTGCCTCTTTCTCTGTGTCTCTCATGAGTAAATAAATTAAATCTTTTTTTAAAAAAAATAAGTAAATGATTTTAATTGGCTTTATTGCTTCCCAGTTTAAGTCCAAGGTAAGGGAGGGATGATGAGGCCTAAGGAGAATGGGCTTCGGAGCTTCAACAGGAGAGAGGCTTATACCTGGTGGCTCAGCCCCTCACCTGGATTCAAATTCCAGACCCACGTGGGTGTCATCAGCTCTCTACACCTCTGTTTTCTCACCTGTGATGTGGGGAAACCTCACGGGGCTGGTCAACGGTTCAGTGTAACAGGGATGGAACACTCTGTGCCTATGGAGCTGCAGCGCCGCGCGTGGGTGAGGGGCCGTAATTATGACAACTGTGCAGTCAAACCTCCCTTTGGCCCTCCCTCAGGATTCATCTCTGCCGCAAGCCAGCGCCTCTCCTCGGCTCTCATGGGGACCACGGAAGCCACGCTCCGGATGGAAAACGTGGATGTGAAGGAAGAATGGCAGGACGAAGCTCTTCCCAGGTACGGCTTCCCCGTCCGCTCCCATGTCACCTGTTGCGTGGAGGGGAGGTGCCCACGGCTTCTCTGAGGTGGGGTGTGGGGGCCGCCGCCGCTGTCGCCGCTGTCGCCGCTTGATGGGGCCAGGCACATAATCGATATTTGCTGGGTTACTTAAGATTGGTTCCCCAGGGATCCCTGGACGGCTCAGCGGTTGAGCGTCTGCCTTCGGCTCAGTGTGACCCCAGGGTTCTGGGATCGAGTCCCACATGGGGCTCCCCACAGGGAGCCTGCTTCTCCCTCTGCCTGTGGCTCTGCCTCTCTCTCTGTGTGTCTCATGAATAAACAAAATCTTTGAAAAAAATTTTTTTGATTCCCCGCCCCCCCACCAAAGCACCACAAAAGCTCCCACTCCCACGCTATTTTAAGAGTCCTGGACGTTCTCCTACAACCATCCGATGGACTGTTACGTTCCTACATGTGTTCCCAGGAATTCAGGTGATAGCGTATGTTCTCCTGTGGCAGCCAGAGGGATCGCGTCCCCCTCCTGCTTGAAACCCCCTGGGGCAGAGGCCCGTCCCAAGGAAAACCCCATGTTCAACGTCCCTTGCGGCTTCTTCGAACTCTCTCCCACCACATCACCTTCTTGCCCCTCCGGTTCTAGCAGCTTCCTTCCCATTCCCCTCCCTGAACTGTCACACTTTGCTCTGGCTGTTCCCTGTGCCTGCAGTGCCCTCCCCAGACGTCCATGCTTCCCTCGCCTACTTCAGGCCTCTGCCCGTAAGCCTCGCTCTTAGAGGACCTCTTGGCGCCACCCATTTACCCCCTCCCTCGGTTCCTGAATTGTTTCCTTCCTGAACAGCGGTCCCCAGAGATGCCCAGGTCCCAATCCCTGTCCCCTAAGAATGCTCCCCTACATGGCAAAGCCCCTCTGTGAACATAATAGGGCTAAGTAAGGATCTCAGAATGGAGAGGTGACCCCAAGTTATCCAGGGGGGCCTCCACGACATCACAAGCGTCCTTCCGGGAGCTCGAAGGGAGAATCTGTTTTCATCCTCTTACCAGATTCTTCCTTCAAGCTTCCAGAAAGAACCAGCCCTGGCCGCACCTTGCCTTCAGCCCCGTGCCACCAATTTTGGACTCATTTCTGGCCTCTAGACTCATAAGAGAATAAATTCGTGTTGTTTTAAGCCACTAAACGTGTGGTGATTTGTAACAGCAGCCACCGCGACTCTGCGAGGAGTCTCATACCCTAAATATTCCGTGCATTTATCTTGTTTAGAGTCTGTTTCCCCCACCAAATGGAACCCCACGACCGTGGGGGCCTTTGGTTGGATCATTGTTGTAAGGAAGCATGAGGACAGACCCCGGCATACAGTCGGCGCTCAATAGCTATTGGGTGAGTGGGTGATGGCCACTGTGGGAATAAGAAACCATGTAGGGGTAAGTCAAGATGCGTGAACCACCAGGCCTTGCACCGCCCCTCTGCGTGCTGCTTGGGCGGCGTGGGGTAACAGAGGACGTGGTCGGCACGGGTGCCCCGATCCGATGGCTGGACTTACACGGCCCACTGCTGCCCGTCTTTAATGCAAGCAGCTTACCCCAGGGGATGATGCCCGACAGCTCGTTATATAACCATCCGGGCAGGACTAGCCAAGGGATGAGCATCGTCACCCCGGAAAAGAAAATCAGAAGGAGCCGAAGGCATCCTGGTGCCTCAGTTTCCCTGTCTGTGAAGTGGGGACTCCCGATAATCCGTCCCTCTCAAAGTTGCTGGAAGAACTGGCTGGGGCGCTCGGGACTGGGCGGCCAGGCTGGCGTCGCTGCATGATGCAGGCGGCCCAGACACCACCCCCTGCGCCCCAATTTCTCATCTAGCTTTGTCGTGTTTGCTCCGGCTCCCTGTGCCCCCCACCCCCACCATCTCCTAAAAGCCGTCCCCTCTCCCAAGCCCTGTTGAGACAAAAGGGGGCAGCTGCAAATGTGGATTTTCAGAGTTTCTCCCAGCTGCAGAGGGTCCCCACGCCCCTTTCTGTAGGCCAGTGTGTGGGGGACAGTGGCCCGCTGTGCGGCGCGGGGCGGGAGCCAGCCTCGCTCTGGAGGAGGGGCGAGCGGCTCCTTGAGGCCGCAGCCAGCTGCAGCTCCACATAAGCACCTCTGTCTGCTGCCAGACAACCCACAGTTCTGTTCCTTCCAGCTCAGCGATCTCGTCCGTGGGGCGTCTTTGAGCTTCCTGGGCCGCTGGGGAGGATGGGGGGGGCAGAGTGCCGGCCCTGTGCCCGCAGCCCCCCCTGCTGCCATGACCTTTTACTATCGCCCTTCACCCCTGTCTTCCTGCAGGTTCCCGTGGGGCCAGAGGGCAGCCCCGGAGACGGTATAGCTCACTGCCTTACCCCCCCCCGCCCCCGGTTCATTCTCGGTGATGATATGCACCCCCTGTATGCCAGGCCCCCGGCGAGGCACACGGCGAGCAAGACAGACACCCTCACGGGGGCATTTGGTCTAGGGCAGAGGCAGGCCTTCCCCTCGTTAAACTTTACAACCCAAGATAGAACTGAGGCTGGGTTCCTGGTACCTGGAGAATGCCTGGGTGGGGTCCCGCCCGGCTGGAGAGACTGCAGAGGTGGGGAGGGCGCTGGTCCTGAGCTGTGAAGGCTGAAGAGCGCGAGGGGTAGGAGCTGAGCGTTCTTCGGAGCTCGGAGACTGGTGTGTGCAAAGGCCCTGAGGCCAGGGGAAGCGGGCTGAGGAACAGAAGGAAAGCTGAGGGGGTTCTTGGCCAGTGCCGCACAGCAGAGGAGATGTCTGATGGGCGCCCCGGCCTGCCCTAACCTCCACCAGCAAGCGGCCACCTCCATGGCCATGGATTTGTTTGTCTCTAACTTTTTATTCTGACACAGTTCCAAACTGAGAAAAAAAAAAATTACAAGAGTGGTGTAAGGCATATCTGTGAACCTTTCCCCGGATTTGCCAACTAAATTTCACTCCCTGTGATTTATCACTCCCTCCCCACCTCTCCCTCCCTCCATTGCCGCTCTCTGCGCCTCCAAACATATACATCAGTTCCCTGTTTGTATCTCTCCATCTCCCCGGGCAATGCCAGCGCTTCGCTTCGTCTCTCCCCCAGCCCAGCACACGCGCAGAGCTGATTTTGTGTGGCACACACCTCAACAGGCCCCCCAAAATGTGTGCAGCCACTGGGGGTTCAGGGTGAGGAGCGGGGAGGACTCTGGGCAGCCCGAGCATCATCGAGGGGCGCCCCTCCGCCGCTCCGCGGCAGCCTCCAGTCTCCTCCTCTGCCCAGTCTGCTCTGGCTGCCACAGCAGGACGCCACTGTTACCCTTCTGCTCCCACAGTCCCGGAGACTGGGGTCGGGTCGGGGTCGGGTTGCTGGCGGGGCCGGGGCAGTGAGGGCTCTGTCCGTGGCTTGTAGGTGGCTGCCTTCGGGCCGGGGTCTTTGTGCTGTGTACGGAGGGATCACTCCCGACTGTCTCCCCCTTGTCCTAGAGCCACAGCCCACTGGGATCAAGGCCCCCCAATGACCTCATGTGACCTTGATTGCTTCTTAACGGCTCATCTCCAAATGCAATCATATTGGAGGTTGGTCCTTCACTATGTGACTCTGGGGGCTGGGGCATGCGATTCAGTCTAACATCCTCTTTGCTGAGACGGAACCCCACTGCTGGAGGCAGAGTGGGGGTGGGGGCAGGGCTGGGTGCTGCCGCCGCCCGCGGTTCTGAGTGTACCCCAGGCCTTGGGACCCTCCCTGGGGGTGGCGGTGCTGGGGGAAGGAAGGGGAGCGAGATGAAGGGACAGACGTGTTGGACATTGCAGCACATTTGTCCAGTCTATGGAAGCCACCAGAGTGGCCAAGAAATAATCTGTTCGCCCTCTCTGGTTCCCTGGGTGGGGTTTTGGGGGTGTCAACGTCGTTGGCCCAGTCTTGAGCCTCAGGAAAGCCTCCCTCTACCCAGAAAGCGATTTCTGTGGTCATTGCGCACCAAATGCAGCCTCGGTTGGGCAGAGACAGAGGCTGGCCGGCCCCGGAGGGGAGACCGAGGCAGCAGAGGGCAAGCTTGATACCCTCCAAGTCCTGGAGCACAGGCTGGGGTCGGGGCAGGGGGCAGGTCAAAGGTCATTCCCAGTCCCCTTGTCTCTAGCATGAGAGACCAAAGCCAGAGGCGGGAATGTGTGGGTGGAACTGGACCCAACCGGGGAGGTCAGAACTGTGCTCCCCCCATCACAGGAGGTGCCCAGTCTGTCCTGCGACAAGCCACTTCTCTGAGGGCCAGACCGTGACTCAAGCGAGGTAGGAGGAGGCAGTTTGTCGTTGTCCCAGGAAGCAAGCAGTTAGTGGGTGCGACCGCTGGGTTCTGGGGCGGACGGCGGGGTAGCTAGAGGCCGGGTTCACTCAGAACCTCCCGGAGAACCCTGCCCCAGCCTTAAAGGCTAAGCGACTTTACCACACAGACAAGGCAGGAAGCAGCCCTCTGGACGGAGGGAGAGATGTGCAAAGGCACTGGGGCAGAGGAAGGGAACGCAGCCCAAGAGCCCAGCCAGATCGCGGCCGTGGGGCTGCAGGGTTCACAGATGGCACATCCTGGAGGGGTGCCCAGGTGGGAGGCTGGGAGTCCACACCGCGGGCAGCACGCGTGTCCCAGGGTTACCGCACTGGGTGGCCTGGGACGACAGACATGTGTCCTCGCACGGTCCTGGAGGCTAGAAGTCAGCAGGACCCTGCTCCCTCCTAGGACTCCCCAAGCTCATTTCCACCTCCCAGCCTCTGCCCAAATGGAACGCCTTCCCCCAGTCTTCCCAGGCCACCAACCTCCTGCTTTCGGGTCTCCATTCACAAGTCACCTCCTCAAAGAGGCCTTCCCTGACTGCCTGCAACTGCTCCTCCCCTCCTCCCCCTTCTCCTGCCTTATTTTCTCTGTGGCAAGTATCACCATCCTGCTTCCTTCATCTATTTTGATGTAGGAAAACATGGTAGGGTTCGAAGCCAATGGCCAAGGAGGAATTCTTGA